GTGTAGTATAAAAATAAATGATATTTAACACAATAATACCCCTTTATCTTCCTTGCAAGCAAACGTGTGAATAATGAAACAAAACAATGAACTGAACGTATAAAAACGGCGACAGCGGAAGCGACATTGAAAAGCAGGTCGATGATAACCTAGCATTTAACTGTTTTCCTAATAAAAAACACCATGGTAATTTTAACAAGTAGAATTATTACTAATCTATATTATAAGTGATATCATACGAATTTAAATATGTATGTATTTTTAGAATATTTTCACATGATTTTTACAATATTGACTAAATATTAATAAACTAGCGACTTAACCTCGGTGCGTCCGTGCGTTTTAATTTTTTTTGGGCGGAACCTTAATTCTTTTTCTAGCCTAAATTACTCCTTATAATATCATCAAGCTATCTACCAGTGAAAGTCCCGTCAAAATCGGTCTAGCCGTTTCGGAGATTAGCCAAAACAAACAGACAGACAAAAAAAAACTGTATTTTTCTTATACGTACGTACGTTTATACTTACATTATATATGCATTTAGTAAAATGTTGTTATTTTGACATTACAATTTTATTTATCTGTATAATCGATTATAAAATTAATCGCCACTATGAGTACAATTATTGTAAAATTATTCTTTATATTATTTATTAAGTAGTAAAAATTAATTAAACATTCCTGTGATAATATGCGATGTTATTAAAAAAAAAACTTATCTTACTTCTAGACTGTACATCAACATATCGTAGACTAGAATAGACTAGTAGAAGGCTGGCGTTTTAAGCGCCACAGAATATAAAACCTCTGCGTAAATCACTGCTAGTTTCATCTAACGCGTTACATTTCACAAGGCAGCCGGCTAATAAATTCATTTAGCGGCAAATAGGTCAGTACACAATAAAATGCATATAAAGCTGTTGGACCGGTCGAATTGCATCCGTAAATAATAACCGATGGAGACGTCAGCGAAGATCGGTGTCAAACTCCTAGATACATAGAAATGGTTATGCGACACCAACACTTTATTGGAACTGCGTTCTACTATTTTAGCAAGACGATTTAATAATATACTTTCTTTATCCGCTAAACTAAGAACATCTTATTTACAAACTTTCTATGTTATGTTGAATATAAGATCGTGAAGTGGACATTTTTATCAATATCATAAATGCCAAAGTCTGCTGTATGTCTGTATGTTTGTGTTTATTTTGTATGTGTTATATTATGTATATGATTTATTTTGATTTTTGATTCCCGAAGTTTCGAATGTTTTACAGCAATCATGGTCATGGGAGAGACTAAGGTTTAAGACGTCTCAAAGGTCATATATAGTTGTTACAAACAGCACCTGTTGCTAAAAAAATAAAAAAAGATACCTATAAATATTTAAAATGTCAAATATCCACATAAATCTAACAAAGTATTGTTTTTTTTTTTTATTTATTTTAGTTTGTCCTTCTTTCTCATATTGTCGAAGCAATAGATATCTTGATGTACATAGCTTATGTTTCGGCGAGTGAAATTGCTTGATTAATTAATAATTGCAAAGGATGAAAATATGTAGTAAATATGATGATTTTGTTACATAATTTTTTGCAAAGTTAATAAGCCGGTTCTAAACATACTATTGAATGTAGGCATATGGACTCCGGAAGCTACGACTGTTTACTAGGTGTAACTAAAGACTGTTTATGATTGGGTTTTAAAATTAATAGCGTAATAAGATTAAAATAGTATAAGGAAGTATGTGCCGTAACGTCGTGGAATAGAAAGAAAGATTACCTCTTTTTCTAGAGGTTTTATAGGCATACTAGCGATTTCGCTTTTCTCTGGTGCGTCCCTAGATTTTAATATTTTTAAGCGGAACCCTAATTTTTTTTCTAAAATAAAAGTCCCAAGTTACTCCTTATAACATCAGTAAATCAGCTATGTGCCAGTGAAAGTTCCGTCAAAATCAGTCTAGCAGTTTCGACGATTAGCCGTCACAAACAGACAGACACACGAAAATTATATCGTCTTATAAATACCTACCGTACATAATTACATATGCATTTTTTAAAAACTGTTATTTTAACATTACAAACAGACATTTCAATTTTATTTATCTTGTATAGATTATTTCGTTTCGAGATGTTAAATGAATATAATATTTGTAAATTATTTAACTCCTTTAAATACTTCATCTCGACGTTTTGAACAATCGTTGGTTCACTTGTGCTTCCTCTACGTTTACTCGTATGACAATAAAAACGTGTATAAATATAAGCAATAAAACGAATATGAATACGAAATAAATTAATTACTTAATATTATTGTACGTAAAATATTTGTTTTTTACATAAATGTCAATTTGACAGATAATTTAAAACAATTATATATATAACTAGCATTGCCCGCGGCTCCGCCCGCGTTCAGATGACCAAAAACTAAATTCTTAGGTGTTACATATTAGTATACTCTTACATTGCAGTTTTTGTATTTTTCCTCAGAAATAAGATATTTTCCCGCGGTAAAAAGTATCCTAGGATCGCGCGCTACATCGCCCGGTTTATATAGCTTGAGCAGGCGGTCGAGCGATGCGGGGCAGAGGGGATGGACTCGCCGTAGGCATCTCAATGCTCGCCAAGCATTAAAAATGTTTCGCTACTAATTACTTCTAACAACGATATCTCAAAAACTATTCATCTGATTGATTTAGTGTAAAGAGCAATTTTAATCTGCATTAAATGACTAAGCTAACTAAAATATTCATTTGGATAAGGATTAATACCGAACTAAAGAAAATAACTTTGAAAATAACGTAATGTTTTTAATTAAAAATGTTAACATAAAAGTGGTTATTGTAAGTCAACCGTAAGAGATAGAGATATGCTATCGCGGACTTTTTTGTAGCATTTTTATAGATTTTGAATTCTCTAGTACATTACTTAACTGTATCTTTGCTAGTTTACGCGGCGTTCGCGTGGAAAGTTCCCATTTGGCGAGAAACATTTGTCGCCGTATTTCAGCTAATTTACATAAAAGCATAATAAATTATATACCTAAACCTTCCTCAAGAATTACTCTTTCTATTTGAAAACCGTATTTTTATAATAAGTATAGATAGATATTTTTTTTAGAATATTCTGATAAATATAATAAGCATAATATATTTTAATTAGTTAATTATAATTTTCGTTTTATAATTAATTATCTTAATTCGAGTTTGTATTAAAGCGAAGGTTGTTATAGGTACATATGTATTCGAAGATTAAATAAAAATACAAAATAAGTACTTCGATGAAATATTTGTTCGGTATTATTTAAGTATTTATTAGAAATATTAAGGATCGATTTCGACAAACATACCAAATCAAAAAAACCATTTTGTAATCAGTCAAAATTTATTAGGTGGCAGGAGGACACTTTTTAGCGCTAAAAATTCAGATGATAACCTTATCACAAGGTCGTTACCTAGCGTCACTAAATGTTGCTTTTTAGGCAACATATTGATAACAAATATAACAACAGGCGCAAAACACAACAATTTTTAGTTTATAGATTAAAAATGTATTATCTGTTATCGATATCTGAAAATCAAATTTAGATTTAAATAAAATTGGTAATAATAATAATTAAGTATTGTGTCTTTTTATAAAATATTACAAAATTTTAACAAGGCATGCCGTAATTCACACGAGCAAAATTATCGTTAAACGCTTGTCATAATGTTACTTGTATCATTATTTAAAAACCATACTAATATTATAAATGTGAAAGTGTGTTTGTTTGTTTGTCTTTTGTTTGTTTGTCGTTCTTTCACGTCGAAACAGAGTGACGGATTGGCGTGATTTTTTGTGTGGAGATAGGGGGAGGGTTGGAGAGTGACATAAGGTACTTTTTACCGCGAGAGATTATCTCATTCCCATGGGAAAACACATTATAATGCAACCCCAACCAAAAAAATATTTATGATCAGAATAACGTGAAACTTAGTATTAATGCTCTTCAATACAATTAAATAAATATGTACGTGTTTAAGCATTTTTCGAAATTCATGCCATAAGGGGGTAAAATAGGAGATGAAATTTTGTATGCACCCTACCTTTTTAGATTTTTTTTTTATAGTTTTAGCGCGAGCGAAGCCGCGGGTTCTGCTCGTATACTATATGTATAACGATAAAAATTGACATTAGGTACAAAATACGTGTCCGATAAGGAGAAATTTTGTTAGCATCAATTGTATTAACTTTATGGACGTGCATAATTAAAAAGGTAATAAAATATAAATTATTAAGTTGAGCACACGCCACAGTTTCTTAATCGAACTGCCATCTCACGTAACATCCACAAATGCAAAATACTAAATGGCTATGTTTTGTTTTTGTCTAGATCGTTTCTGTAAAGTATGTAAGTATATTTTGTACTAGCGACTCACCCCGACTTAGCTCGGGTTCGTCCCTAGGTACGTTTTAATGGTTAGTATGGAATAGGTAGACTATATATTAATGTGTTTATGTATATACATACATAGACATGATGAGTTTTAAATCCCTTACTTGAGAAATAATTGATTCACCATACAAATACTCATTCCCCTTTTCATCCCCCTTAAGGTGTATTTTCGGGATAAAACCGATCTTATATCGTACCCAGTGTCTCAAACTTTCGTCATACCAAATTTCATCTAAAAAGTCAGTTAAGCGGATTTTTAGTTTATCCACTACAAACAAAAATCCTTCTTTTTCCTTATTTTTATAATACATATTAGTATAAATTTAAGGATTTTTTTAATAAAAGGTATTAATAACATAGTTATGCAGTTACAATTTAAAAATGTTTTATAATAGAACTATTACACATTATTATACCTACATAATAGTTTTATCGTTTCATAATTACTATCTTTTTTCGCTTCACTCTCGGTAATTTAATGCCACACTGGAAACTGCACACATGGATAAGCAGATAGTAGAAGTACATACAATCATAATACTATTACACGAGTTACAACTCACCTCCTGTATGCAGCAGCGTGCTAGGGTGCACCGTGCCGTCCTTGTGCAACAAGACGTGGGCCAGTTCCGTGGGTAAATAGTAAGCGTTTCCCTCGTCTAAGCATTTCTGGTAGCAGCGCGAGACCTGGTAGAACAGCGCCCAAGCATGCTCCTCGCTGATGTTAGAGTTGAAAGCCCGGAGGATCTGCTGCAGCGTGAGGCAGTCGGCGGCGTCCAGCGCGACCTCGGTCCCGCCGGTCGCCCCGCTCGCTTCCTTGCGCATCATCGCGCTACCCCGCCGTACCCGGACCCATGGCTCAAACACAACACTATATTAAATCACTTCACCGGTTCAATACGGTCAATTTATTCCAAGCACTAAAAATTTAACGGTAAAACAATTTTTTACAAAACCATAACAAAAAGCGTGTTCTGTCAACTACACCCCGAAACGTCACTGTCAATGTTGAGTGAAGTGGGTGGTGTAATAAATTTACCCGAGTGTTTTTGTCGGGTTGCGTGTTGCGATCGCGAGAGCGCGTGCGCGGGTTCGCGTAGAACGATCACAGTCATGCACTCTTATCGGCGGTTGGGGCCGAACTAGTGAGTAGCGAGCAGCGGTCGCACTGGGACGGTAGTCGCTGCTCGCTAGTGATACCACGATATACGAAGAGCTCTGCCACCCCAGAGAAAACCATAGGGGGTCATCTATATTTAAACAGACCTTCACCCACGAAAATAAAAAGTCCTTACAATGAAATGAACCACAAACTACGATTTGAATCAACCAAAATATTTCTTACAAAACACTTTTAAAGTAAATAAACAGCTATTTGTTTATGGCAATTTTTTTTGTGAAGTTACTAATTTATTTGTTTATCCAAATGATATTTTTAGGTATATAGGTAATGAATTTGTTTAATAAATAATAAACCGGATTTACGTGATTTATTAATGAATGATTTTGTGATCATTATCGTTTAACATTATACACTAAACGTTTCAAAATTCCGACAAAGATTGAGCAACATGTGATGTAAAAATTTATTTTAGAATATTTTTTTTAAATACGTTGTATAATCTCATAAAAAAAATCAATTAAAAACTCTCATAAAAAATCAAAATGTCATAAAAAAAAGTTCATCAATCAATTGCCGTAGTAAATAAAATGGATTTTTTATTATTTCTTATTTCTTAATTATTATAGGTATATATTAACTAAAAAAACGTAATATCGTCATTACTCATTAAGCATATATATACATTGTACCTAGATATAAAAGATAAATAAAGAGGTTGTATTACTATATCGAAAGTAAATAAAAAAATTATGGAATATTATCATTATCATAGTTTTTTTTATAGAAAAAAATATATTTTGACATAACCAAATAGATTGTGATAAAAGTAGGTACTGATTAAATACTGACAAATATTTGGTCATAAGAATAATCTGTGTTTTTTGATCCAAGGGCAATAAAATTATTATCTATCAATATATCATATACCTAGGTACTTACCTTTTTTATTCAATAATAATGATTAGGCATTGGGTTCGTATTTTCTCTGCGAAGTAAATTCGGAAAACTCTTTATCCTGCTTTACGATGACGCATTTTACTCTCCCGAGGGCTTTAAGACGAATTTAGGATAGAATAAAAGTTTCTGCGATAACCGAGTCTATTTGAAGGATTTCGCCTCGTCTAATATTAATAATTCAAATCTGTGTTTGTTTTGTCTAAGTACTTGTTACTATTTACTACATAAAAATATAACAATGGATCGACTTGTTTTTTTGCACATACATACATTACATATTATATTATTTATGTGTATAGCATACTTTTCGTCGCGGCGTGTGTGTGTCTTGAAGAAATAGCCTAAGAGAAGATAGATATAATATTTTAATTAACTGACACTGACTGACTCACTCGTGACCTGTCAGAAACTATTAAAGCTAGAATCATGAAAATTTGGTCAAGATTTTCGCGTAATGGAGAGGCTCGGCGTAGATTGTCTAACATTATAAATGCGAAAATGATTGATATGTGTTACTTATCTCTTGAAGTTTAACACCTCAACTAATCGTGATAAAAGTTGACACGTACGTAGCGTTAGGCTAATGGGAAATGACATGAAGTGGGTTTTATCTCGGGCAACTAAGGGATGTCATACCTATAAGTTAACCGTTAAAAGCTTAGCGCAAAGTAAAGCAAGGGCGGATCTCTATCGTGTCAATAAATGATCATTTTTCATTATTTTTAGGGTTCCGTAGTTCATAAAGAAAAAAGTAACCCTTTTAGGATCACTTCGTTGTCCGTCTATCTGTCTATTTTTAAATAGTCTGAGTTCTAACCTTATTGTAGATCAAATAATATTTTTATAGCTTGATTACCTTATTTCAGTTGAGATACAATCGATTTTGACTACATTCTAGCGTAGTATGTATTATTTTACAGAACATACGGTTATACGTAATGGTAAGTATTCTAGATGTGCATTATGTGATGTGACCGCGAAAATGATACCACGGAAATAATAAACCACAAATGAGAAAACATAATAAAACGATAGTCAACATACGAGTAGGTATAAGTAAAAAAATAATAAGTAGATAGTATATCTCTTTACTTTTTTTTTACTTTCTTAATTTTCGAAAGACACGTGAATTCCGCCAATCCCGCACTTGGCCAGTGTGGTGGACTCCCCTGCCGCCTGAAGGCCTGATTCCCCTCGTATTGAAGAGAGGCCCGTGTCCAGCAGTGGGACTTCAAAAAGGGCTGAATACATATCTCTTTACTCATCATGGAATATTGGGACTTGGAAACCTGCTTTCTAATACAATACTATTAATGCTAAGGTGTATTTTCACAAATGGTATTATCGCCGATAGCAAATGAAAAATCGGACGAGTGCGAGGCTGACTCGCACACCGAGGGTTCCGTAGCATGAATATAAAACATTAAATTTGTACTGTTTTAATATTCCAATTTTTTACGTCAAAAGTAAAATAAACTATATACCCATGTACAATGTTCATGTTATTATTATTATATATATTCATATTATTATGTTGACGGCATAAAAAACTGTGTATTTTATAGTATTACTATGAAAAACAAAGTTAATTTTGCGGCCGAATACATGCAACGGAAAATATGCAACGACTCATAAACTACTAACGTATCTTCTTCAAAATAATACTCATTAAAAGTTTTTTTAAGTTCTATTATGTTGTTCTGAAGTTTTCGAATCATACCAAAGTTTACTTCTAAGTTACATTAGAAGTGTAGGTATTTAACTCTATAACTATTAGCTTGAACAAAAGAGTCACTGAGAAACCTCTACGAATATATAACTTGTAAAAATGATAACCTTGTTTTTGATAAAAAAAATTATCCCTCAGTTATATATATGTCACTGTGACACCCCAATATTTATTATTTTTTGTAATTTGACTTCAGAACTTCACATGTTGACTTGATATGACCTGACAGGTCTACCTAACCTAACCTACCTACTAAATTTCAGCAACTCCAACAGTCTTCGAGTTAAATGACTGAGACCTACGGACAGACTGACATGGCGAAATTAAAAGAGTTGAGTTTTAGCCATTTGGCTACTATTCTACTAAAAATTAGGGATGGAAAATTCTGGCACTTTTACTTACATAATAATTAATAACCAGTCCACATTTGGCTTAGGCCTTAGACCAGCTATACGCAAGCTGCGGCTCGCGGGCCGCATGCGGCAGCATCAAAAATCGCATTATTACATATCTTTGTTAAAAAAGTAACTACATCGTTAACTTGGAATTACGTTTTCATTAAGACCTAAATAATTTTTGCTTACGGCCCTCGACACCATGATTGAAACGTGTTTTTTGGCTCCTATAAAAAAGGCATATAAAGGCAGTGGTAGCCCAGTGGTAACGCGCTCGCTTGAGAAACCGAGTGAAGCGGGTTCAAATCCCGGGTCTCGCACCTCTGATATTTTCATGTGCGAATCATTTCTAACATGATTACCACTTGCCTTACGGTGAAGGAAAACATCGTGAGGAAACCTGCATGTCTGAGAGAACTTAGCAAGTTTTCTAAAGACATGTGAAGTCCGCCAACCCGCACTTGGCCAGCGTGGTGGACTATGGCCTGATTCCCCTCGTACTGAAGGGAGGCCCGTGCCCAGCAGTGGGACGATAAAAAGGGCTGAATACACACATAAAAAAAAGATCGAGTATGCCTTAGATTATAAATTACTCTAAAAACGCAATTACTTTTATTTATTATAGATAAATAGCGATTTGTAGAAGGTTAGCTTCAGTAGGCTTGTCTAAGTACGAGTATATGTACGAGTATCTCATTTATTATTGCCAAATATTGAACTAAAATATTTTTACGCAGCATCTAACTTAGCAATTGTTTTGTAGATATTTTTCACCTCACGGCACTTCCTTTCCTTTCCTTGCCTTAACACACTCTGCTTTCTATCAGTACCTACCTCTAAAATCTTTATATATATAATTCTTCTGTGAGTGTGTATGTCACTGAACTTCTCTCAAACGACTGGACCGATTTTGATGAAATTTTTTGTGTGTGTTCAAGGGGATCTGGGAATGGTTTAGATTCACAATTTGAATAATAATTTTCATCAAAAAAATTATTAAAAAAAGTTTGAAATTTTCAAATTAAAGACGTGTAGACAGGACAACGTCTGTCGGGTCCGCTAGTAAACATACAAAACAAACACCATTATTATAAACTCTTAAGATTGATGCACAAGATACCAAGTGCAACTAAATCTAAGGATCACTGTTCAATGTTCATATAATCCTCTTTAACATGCAGTATTTAATTTTAGGATTACATGCAAAAGCCTAGATTTTATTTATTTATGTACCACTAAAAATCATATAAAAAACAGATAAGTAATTTATCAGAAAAAGGATTTTAATTATTTATCTAAATTTTACTCGACCTCGGAATCGATCCTACCATCGATCGGTTACTTTGCCACTGGACTGTAACGAGGTCAATATTGCAAAGCGCACGCACTACTCAACAAATATTTTGTCGTATCAAATTAATTAGCATTAAGTAGTAAAGATATATTTCATACTATATTAATCGTTTATGATCTTTTACTTAAATATCCCCTTTAGATATATATATATATATATATATATATATATATATATATATATATATATATATATATATATATATATATATATATATATTATATCTAATCTAGACGGGGGCGGTCCGCATATATTATGCGATATGGGGAATAACCGCATATTTGCAATATACAAATTCAAAAAACAAATCTTCTTTGTAGCATTACTAGTGCCATCTTTTGGAAGAATCAGAATATCTGTTATTATTTTGGTGCACCGTGCCACCTGTTTAAGATTTAACATTTTAAGGGGTAGACCATCGGTACTGCACCGGTCACTCATATTATTGATGATGATGATAATGTTCTTCTGGCCGATTCCGGCCACGGCGGCCAATCTCATTGAGACTAACCAACTGCGCAGGAGATTTTGTAGTGCACAAGTGTACGCGCAGACACAACGTGCACTCTCTATTCCTGTCACTCTCATATTCCGGTGGGACGACTGCTCGACACGACCAGTCAGTTTGACCAGTTAAGGCGCAGGACCGACGGCTTTACGTGCTCTCCGAGGCACGGGGGTGAAGCACCGCCAACTTCCCAACTCCGGGCTGTTACTGAGGCTTACTATACAGAAAGACCCAATAACTAAATTTGGCCCGACCCGGGACTCGAACCCAGGACCTCCGGGTGTGCAGCCGTACGCTAGCCACTACACCTCCTATTTAGTTAACTCATATTATTATTAGATATATAAGATGCTTAAAAATTTCAATTTTGGAGAATACCAACTACGGTAATTTTATACATACAGTACCGTGCCAAGACTCTTGTATGAAAATGAAAAATTGAGCTAATACCTCCTACTACATATTTTTATCTTCTTATTTTTTTAATATATATATAACTAGCAAGAACTACCACAAACGCACCAAAACAAACAATATTACAACTAAAAGTTCACAAATGTATTTAATTTAATAATATCAAAAAAAGTTATTCTTCAATGATCGTCAATATGTAAAGATGCAACATTCCTTTCAAAGGAATCCGGAGATAATCCAAAGAACAAAAACTGGAAGTGCCATCAGCTGTTTCAATTAGATAGAAATTGCAAGGTTGCCGCATGTCATAATGAATAGTGTTTTTTGCTCGCATTTGTTCGCTTTTTGTTCTATTTCTTGGAACGTCAATGTGTGTGATGCAAATAGTTGACAGAAATGCGTTCTGTTACTCATAATTCAAATAAATGAAACACTTGATGAATATTTCTAAGGAAATTGTTAATTATTATTATATTAGTGAAAGAACTGTACCGAGTTATATCCGAAAGAATTCTTTGTTACTTTAACCTATATTCCAAAGAAATATACGTGATACGTCCTTTTTTGAATTTTATATGCAAATACTAAAAATGATTACTACAAGGCAGTGGTAGACCAGTGGTAACACGCTCGCTTGGGAAACCGAGTGAAGCGGGTTCTAATCCCGAGTCTCGCATCTCTGATATTTTCATGTGCGAATCATTTCTAACTTGATTACTACTTGTCTCACGGTGTAGGAAATCATCGTGAGGACACCTGCATGTCTGAGAGAACGTAGCAAGTTTCCGAAAGACGTGTGAAGTCCGCAAACCCGTACTTGGCCAGCGTGGTGGACTATGGCCTGATCCCCATGTAGCAATATACTCTATGCTGATCCCTCTCGTATTGAAGGGAAGTTCGTGCCCAGCAGTAGGACGTTAAAAAGACTGAATACATAAAGGAGTCGAAACAGGTAAAATTTAAACATAGTTTTTGAACTATGATCTAAGTAATAATTCTAAAATCTTATAACTCAACATCTACTTAGTATATAGAAATGAAAAAGGTATAAAAAAAAACAAATATCCTTCCAATATTTATTTAAAGTCAATACAGTAATTACCTATAATTTATACTTAGCAGTCTCTAGAAATCTTACTTCGGGCTGATGCACCTTAAATTTAAAAATCTTAACTTTAAAACACTTTTTACTCAATGATTATAATAGAATATACATTGATCGCTAACTGTATAGAAATAAGGCAATAATTTATATAAATGTAATACTTGGGAATGTTATATATTCTAGCTAATGAAATTATCTATATATGTATTTAAATATGATTATTACTGTAATAAACGACAGACTACATTTTCTTTTTACATGTGCATTCAATTTGTATGCAAAACCAATAAATTACACATAATATTCAAAGAAAATTTTATTTTATAGTTTTAAAATTAATTGTCGCATGAATTAGAAAGGTAGTATAATATAAATCTTTCTATGCCAATTCATTTATACAATTTCTTTTATGGTTTTATTCTAAGAGAAAATAATTAAAGTAATATCCTGTCGCGTGTGTCCTTAGTTAAATAAAGTATAAATTAAAACACTAACATAATAAGTAAAAATCTAACTGCCAGAGCAAACGGTCTAACCCACAATTTAGTAATTTTATATATGGTAAATTTTATATTGAATAATATGAAGCATTTGTATTTTAATTTGGATTATATTTTAATGTCGTATAATATAAAAAAATAACGAATGAAATTATACCACATATGTTTGTTTATTTTTATTGCTCTAAGGTTAAATTATACCATAAACATTTGTTTGTTTATATTTGTTGTTCTGAGGTTAGGCCACTTTTGCGTTGAGAGGCCCGACCCACATATAATAGACTATATCACGGAATATCATACTTGTAATCGCTATTAATATTAATATGATGATACTTTGAAATAGATTAAAAAATGGAAATGACTTACAATTTCATTACAAAAAGATAAAAATACTGACAAATACTATTAAAATTAAAACAATTTGAATTCCTTTTATCGTGTTTAAAAACATTTAATTTTATTATTAGGTGAATAAAATAAATACGTTATGACATACCTATATTGGCTTATTAAATATTTTTTTAATAAATGTATGTAAGACGTAAGTGTGTATATATAACATTATTTATTTCTATTCACTCTTAGAAAAATTAATTTTAAAACCAAACAGTATTCACGTCGCTGCAGTTATTAAAACCTATCATCATAGTTACAAGAAGATCTTACGAAAGAACAATTTATTGAGAATACATATTTTGATTTAAAAAAATTACTTTTTCTTCAAACTCCACAAGGGATCTAGGAAGTTCAGGGGGTCTTTCATATCGCCACTCTTCAGTCCAGGGGCTTGTCGCATTTCTTCGAATGATTCTTTGGAGAATTTGGATTTGTTAGAAGTAGTAGACGCAGTGGGAGAGGGGGTAACGGGAGGAAGCATGGAGGCACCGCTCGCTCCCGAGACTGCCTCCCCGTTAAACATAGTTGTACCTTCAAAGGAAATAATATTTGAAGTGAAAACTTCTATAGGCATGTTTGTATGGGGAGTAAATTCATGTAAATCGTCATCGACATGGTCACGTGACGTGCTAACGCTAACACTCGGAGTGTTGATAGATGTCAAAACCAGATAAATGTAAACAGTTTTAATTTACAAATTTTAATTTAAGATCAAACAATAAATTTGAATATCCAAAAATAACAACTGTTTGTTTATAGTTTTAAATTTTTTCCTGTTGGCAGTCCTCATAACTGCTTTTTTTATATAATACTATTTATAAATATATTTTTTACAGAAATAAGGAAACAATAAGGAAATATTATTATTATAGCATTATTTAACATTATAAATTCGAAAATTTAGATGGATGAATGTTTGTTACTCAATCACGCCCGAACAGTTGAACGGATCTGGATGAAATTTGGCAGAGAGATAGATTATAGTCTGGAATAGCACATAGATTATTTTTATCCCGGAATAAAATACGGTTCCCGTGGGATATATTTGTTTTTGTTCTTCACTAGGAACGAACCTAAAGTGAAACGAGCGTGAGTCGCTAGTATTATAAATGTGATAATGTGTTTATAATTGTAAGATTAAATAATTTCCACAACTCACCGGAGCAAAGCACCCCCTGCGCGTAGTACAAGACGGTGCGGTATGCATCCGCCAAGTACTTTGTATCTTCCAACACATTTGTCCTATGTTTGTACAAGTTGATACACGCTGCATCTAACATGTCTGTAAGTATATCATATATTTATGTAACATAAAAATGTAAGGTATAGAAATTATTAGATCCACAAATCAATAAATAAAAATGGACTGTCCCATTTATTTATTTTTTACTTTCTGCAAATGTCTATAACCATTTCTTTGTTCTGTGATTAGGTTATTTAGGGTTCAATTAAAATGTAAATAATTTTCAAGACTTTCCATAATATTTTTTCTTATCAAAAAAGTCATATTAATTAAAAAGTATATCATTTATAGGGTCATGGTAGTATGGAATTACTATCCCATAAGCAAAGACGATGGGAGACGATTGAAAGTTTAAATGTATCCATTTCGGTTCTGTCTGGCGAGTCCCACTCACGAATGTAACCAATGGAAGGGGAGATATTAGAGCAGTTTTTTTTTGTTATAAACAAAAATGTCCAGAATAACATACATATTGTGTTATAAAAACACACAATAAAGTGACATTAATTCAGTTTCACTGTCGCGTCGGTGGAATCTGCCAGCAGCGATAGTCACTGCGGACAGCTAGTATTGACGCATGGCTGGATAAGAAAAATTGGGGTCGTACGGGGCATTCGAGGTAAAACGCTTATGAGTCACTCCTGATTGTCATCATACCTGCTTTTAAACGAATGTTGAGAAACAGCTTTAGGGTTGACATTGTTTTAACTTCAAAACCCTTTGCCATAAAATTTGTTATCTTTTGACAACCATTGCTTTTGCCGTTTCCCGATTGTCATCTAAAAGTGTGTATGGAAGTCGGGAGCGACCACCGTACGCCCCTCAATTAGCCCTGTCTACGCCTACGTACCTAAGCGTTCGTTGGAGAATTGTATGGAATAGTAAACTGCGATGATAATACGTCAGTGAAGCACTCACCGCACAGGCGCATGTCGCCGGCGCGCACCTGGCACAGCGCCAGCAGCAGCAGCGCCAGCGCGGCGCTGCGCCCGGCGCCGCCTGCGCACTGCACGCACACGCCGCCCGCCGCCCCGCCCGCCCCGCCGCCCACGCCGCCCGCCCCGCCGCCCGCCCCGCCGCCCGCCCCGCCGCCCGCCCCGCCGCCCGCGCGCAGCGCCGCGTCCGCCAACGCCACTAGCGGCGGGCACACTACCCTGTTAACATACAAAACTGTTTAGATAACATACCTATACGTTTAGACGGATTTGGCTGGAATTTAGCACACAGATAAATTATGACTAAACCTAGAGTAGCACATAGATCTAAGCTATACTGTTAAACACTAAAGCTACTGAAAGCAATAAGCCACTGAGATATTTTATTATTAATACATATATCTGTAAATAGTTTATAGAAATAACAATATAATATGCAATTACATCTCTAATTAAATATAAAATATTTTTTTACTAAGCAATATATTACTATATATCAATAACATCTATAATTTAAATAACATAGTCCCAATATTTTACCTAACAACTTTACTTCAATACAAATAATAAAAACAAACAATATATCAATTTCCCCTCGTACTGAAAGGAGGCCCGTGCCCAGCAGTGGGACGTTAAAAAAGGGCTGAATACATACATACATATTATGTTAATAGTTAGTAGTTCACATAATTCCTAATATTTTTTTAGTCAACTAAAAGCCCACTAACTTAGCCGGGTACACGTTGATCTGATAGTGTACGACTTTGGCCACGGAGCTCCCCAGCGCGAGCGTGAGGCGGCGCTCGGTCCAGTGCACGGTGCAGGCCACCTCGTCCAGCGCCACGCGCAGGCCGCCGCCCGCCTCGATGCACTGGCCTTTGGCCGTCGGCCAGTAGGCCTTGCCTTGCATCTGGAATATCACCAGTGATAAATTAAACATTATAAAAAACCCGAGGACAGATTATCATCAAACATAGCTAAGAACACTCCCGACTAATTTAACTTTCAAACAAAAAAAAACCAAAATCAAAATCGGTTCATCCGTTCGGAAGCTACGATGCCACACACAGACACGTCAAACTTACAACACTCCGTCGATTTTGCGTCGGGGGTTAAAAATAACTTTCAAATTGTATATTTTGTATATTTTCCATATTATTAATGAGAGCTGAATACATTGTATATTTAACTTTAAATTAAAAAAAATATTTTACTTATAATGTATAATCTACGATGACTAACTTAACAAAAGAGTTAGAATAATTGAAAGAATAAACTATCTTTTAGGTAATTTTTCGTGGATTTATTTTTATTTTTGGTTCTTGTTTAAAGTTAGGATTAATCATATCAACGTTTCATTATAAATCTAGATTTAACAAGCAAATTATATTATCTCACCTCTATTTCACTCAGCAAACACACGATGCAAGCAATCTTATTTTCCAACATCGCTTTCCAGAAGGTCTTGTACTCGGCCTCTTCAGGACATTTCGATATCACTAGCGGAACGCACCAGGAAGCCAATTGCTACAAACAGACATTATCAACATATATACACATCGCACATTTATATATTATCTATAGATATAATATAATTCATAATTATTAACGATACAGAGGCCGAATCTATAGATTTTACATTTTTTCTGTCTGTCTGTCTGTGAACGCATCACGAGACTGATCACTGGGCAGATTTTAATGAATTTTGGTATGATGATAGCTGGTTATCCGGGTCAACATATATGATACTTTTTACTGCGGGAAAATATTTCATATCTAAGAAATCTATACTAAACGCTAAAACATAACTCGCTATTAGATAATATAGGGCTTATAATAGACTCTATTTCACCTTGTAATAAGAGGCATTGATATATGCGTCAGGGTCAGATTTCAAAGTAAGCCTCGAGTCATCGTAGGGCACCACCTCCGCTACGACGTTACCAGACGAATGCCGCATCGCAAACGATTTTGATCTATTTGCATTTTCTTTTGCCTGTAAGATATTAAATTTTTAATCTTTGTAATTAAAAAATAAATAATTTTTAATCATGTACATTATATATTAAAATGGGTCAGCAAAACGGTTTACAGAAATAAAATTTTGACCAATTAAAAAAAAAATGAAACTATATTGAAGACTATAATAGTTTAACTTAAAAGGAAAAAATAAAACTCTATTAAACACAAAATCAAATCTAAAATCCTAACCAAAGATAGGCACCAACCAAAGTATTATTTATAGATAATCTTATAGATTTTTATTTCAAGGCTATTAATTCTTTTTTTATAAGACTAAAACAATAACCTTTTTTTTTAAAGTCGATTCAAAATAATATAATAAACAAAACCTCACCTGTACATCTTGGAAGCTTTTCCACTTAGCGTCTAAAACTGTTAGCCCACTCGGAGTCTTATTGGTTAAAGTATCGGTTAACTTCTGCAAATTCTTCACTTCCTGAGTGAACTGATTCAACAAACTCGGATCCGAAAATATATCTTTTTTGGGCGGCCTTTCAATAACCTCCTCCTTTGGAACAGGCTTCACAGGTTCGATTTTCGGTATAACAGCTGGTTTAAATATAGCTTTTTCTGATATTTGTGGCACTTTAATTTCAGGCATTAACGGTTTTTGTTCAACCGAAAAGTCTATTTCGGATAACAGATCGAATGTTGATAACTCTTTATTTTCTGCTTTGCTTGCAGATGGTTTGGTTTCTGCTGGTTCTTTTGCAGTATTATCTACTCCAGTTTGGTTTGAAACATTTGATTGGTCGTTTTGCTTAATGTCAGATTGATTTGGGTTTGTTCTAACAGTTGATTGATAATTTTCATTATTTCCAACATTTGATTGATAATTCTGATTAGATTCAACATTTGATTGATAATTCTGATTAGATTCAACACTTGATTGGTTATTTTGCTTAGTTGATACTTGATAATTTTGAGAGGATGCAACATTTGATTGGCTTGGACTAACGGTTACATTTTGAGCGCTCTGATTAGTTACATTTGGTTGTTTGTTGTTCGCATAACCGCTCTGTTCGGCGACATTTTCTTTCGCATTTGAAACTGGAAAGGAAGAAAATAAATAAAAAAAATCTCATTTGGTTTTTTAAAACATTTATTCCCAAAGTTTACAATTTTCTAACTACAGAACTCTGAACAGCTACAAGAACATTAAATTCGATAATTATACATCAACTTATTTTTTTTTAATTATATTAAACTCTTACCTTGGCTGCTAGCAAATGTAACACTCGTATCCTGGAGTTGTCCGGACTGCATATAAGTCGAATTATTCATATTGGCACCATAGTTGGTGGTCATTTGTACTGACTGGGTGACTATTTCATTTGCCTGGTTAGTAGCGGTCAGGTATCCGTAGGGTAGATTGTAATATATCGCATTATTGTCGGATGGCATTTGGGGAGTTTCTGAAGGGGATTGAACAGTTTCACACGCGCCAGCGCTCGTATACGTCCCAGGTGCATTCCACTGTTGATCTTTTCCCACATTCTGTTCCACATTTCCTTGTCCAGACCAGTTAGAATATGTGTTTTGAGATCCATAGGTGTACTCGTAACTGCCACTCGTAGCATTAAATGTATAGCCGGGATGATTTTGGTACATTTGCCCATAGTTTGTTTGATCTGAGAATTGAGTGTTTGTCTGTTGTGGCGTTTGATCGGGATAATTAATGTGAGTTTGGGGATTGTAGCCTTGGTAATTTGGAATGTTCGAGGCCAGAGCTTCGCCCTTTACATGTGATTTAATCGGTTTATCAATTGCATCTAGGTTGGGTAAAGTGGGGTCAGGTGCCATACCGTAGGTTTGCCCCGCAATATATGCTTGAGAATAACTGGTAGTTGTTACTGCAGGATTTTCTGCATTTGTATATATATAGCCTTGAGATACGTTATCGTATGCAAGCGGATAAGAGTATTGTTGATCTGTACTGTAACCGGACACGGATGGGATAGCATTTGAATTTGGGATAGAGTTGGGAATAGGGTTAGGGATAGAGGCAGGCACAGCATTTGGGACACTTTGCATTGGATTAGAGAAATTCGCAGGGTTAGGTACATTCTGCATAGAAGTGCCTGGCATTGAATAGGATATATTCGGATTTTGCATGTTTTGCAATTGATTTGGTGGAACATTTTGCATTGGACTTTGTATATTTTGCATTGGATTTTGAATATTTTGCATTGGATTAGCAACATTTTGTACTGGAGTTGAAACATTTTGGATAGAACTTGGTATATTATGCATAGCATTTGGAACGTTTTGCATAGGATGTACACCAGCTTGCATTGAATTTGGGATGTTTTGCATTACATTTGGCATAGAATTTGGAACATTTGGCATGGCATTGGGAACATTTTGCATAGGATTAGCAACATTTTGCATTGGATTTTGCATATTCTGCATCGGATTCGGTACCGAAAATGCTACATTTGGTTGTTGATTTTGTACATTTTGGCCTTGAATAACATTCGTTTGGCCATACGGCGCCATAGGGTCAGTTGTGTATGGATAATTCATACTATTTCCAGTTGGAAGAGGTGACTCTACGATATTTGTATTTGAATTTTGTCCAGCACTACTGTATGTCGCCATATTTGGCGTAAGAGATTGGGGATACTGCACACTATAATGAGTTTGTGCGTACTCCCCGCTATAATTATTAGTCGGATCCGGTTTCGCAGAGATATTCATTTGAGCGAAACTCGCATTAAAGTCTTGATTTACTTGATTATATTGGCTATTAGGGTCAATTTGATTAGCCATATATTGTTCGTTACCAACATTATACTGGTTTTGGTTAGGATTTTGACTCATATTAGAATAGGGGTTATTTTGCGAGTCAGTTACCGCTGTAGAGTTATTTTGTGTTGCTGAGTAATAAGGGTTTGTATATGTTTGGGGGTCGGGCATTTGTGCGGAGTACTGAGGAGGGGTGTATGACGAGTAGCTATAATTTTCCTCGGGCTTGCTATATTTTGTCATGGGAAAAGCGTAGCTAGCCTGTGGATTGTAAGAGTCACTTTCGGTTGGCGCGTATGGGGTGTACTGTCGAGAATAGGGATTCTGCATCATTGCCATTCCTTGGGGCATTACTACACCATCCGGCATCGGTTGTGTTAACTCCGTAGCTGCAATAGTTTTAAATTTGTATATAATTTATAGTAATAATAAGAAATTTTGTAATTTCTAACCTAATCAATTTTCTAGGAAAATTTCTCTCTTCAGCATTTAAGTTTAATACTCGACATACAAAAAGCACTAGATACACAATCCCATGCATAAGTTCTCTTAATACTATCACCAATTGTGTTAAGTTTTTACCAATTCTAGTTGAAATAAATATACAACAATGTGAATTAAACCTTAAATGCAATGTTTAAAATGGTTTTTACAAAAAAAAGCGTGTTCAAATGAGCGTTCATTCGGTGAGGACATGTTTTGTCATTGATTGTATATCTAGTACTTGTTTGATCGATGGGTAAGCTATTATATTTTTCTGTTGGATTAATTTAGCTTACCACAATAAAAAAAAAACAGATTCCAACAAAACAGCTTTACCGAATAATGCAACAATATTGCCATAAGAACATGTTACGTTAAGACACTAGTACAAACATTAGTATTACATTCAAAATGAGAGTTCCTACCTTCTGACCCCACAGGTGTAGGTCTTACTGAAGTCGGATATATCGTCTCTGGATAGTACCCTTCAGAGGGCAGTGGCTCTGTTGGAGCTGAAAGGCAAAGGTTATTACTAAGCCATATTTGTATATGGTAATATGAAATTTAAAATAGGTGTAAAAAGTTAGTATTATGTTAGGAAATTCCTACAATTCAATCTGTTACAAGCAAAGTTGGATAAAGTAATAATCAAAATATTATTATTATATGGTTAAATATAATAAATGACATTTGAATATTTAGGATATAAAGAACATAATCCCTAAAGACTAAAGTCAAAACAGTTTTTAAGTACATCCAGAAAGTAAAAAAACTTGAGTTATCACACTACTAAAAATAATAATCTATACAGATAAATAAAATGAAAGTGTTTGTAATGTCAAAATAACAGCTTTTTACTAAATACATATGAAATTTTATACTTATAAGAAAAACACAATTTTATAAATGTTTGTCTGTCTGTTTGTTCCAGCTAATCTCCGAAACGACTGGGCTGATTTTGACAAGACTTGCACTGCCAGATAACTGGTGTTATAAGGAGTAACTTAGGCTACTTTTATTTTAGAAAAAGAATAAGGGTTCCGTTCAAAAAATTAAAATGTACCCGAGCGAAGCAAGGGTATTAAAATAATACTAAATAAAATTTGTATGTGTGTTTGTTGCTCCTTCGAAACGGCAAGACGAATTTTGATGAAATTTAATACACAGATGGCTATCACCACATAGGCTACTGTGTAGAAAAAAATGCCCAAGGTTGTACTACCTGCATATACTATAATAGTATACGTTCAAAAAGCACCCAAGGTCGCGAGGTTTAATCATTATTTGTATAATAAAATAGTATTTTTACAATACATTAGCGACTCACTCTCGCTTCGCTTCGGTTTCATCCCCAGACAAAAACAATTCTATCCCCCGGGAACAGTACATTTTTCCGGGATGATATATATTTTATTTATTTATATATATAATTGCATCAACAGCTTACTGTACAATAAACAGCACTTTATAAACAAGTATTTAAAAGTCAATATAGCCTACAGTCTTCCTCAATGAACAGGTTATCTAATACAAAAAGAATTTTTCCAATCCAATTAATAGTTCCTGAGATTAGCGCGTTCAATCAAACAAACAAACACACCGTCTCTTTATAATATTAGTATAGATCAACATACCTTGCGGTAACTGATTCCTTCCCATCGACCGGTTCTTCATGTACGGCAAGTAGTCCTTCAGTTTGAGGGTCCCTCCGCTACTTGGGGTCGGGACGGTGTCTAAGACTTTCGCGTTTTCGTTACGCGAGCCTGGTGCAGGCGCTGCTGTGGGAGTTGACACTGGTGTGGGCATTGTTAAAATATTAGTGTTGTAGGCAATAGGATTTAAACTAAAAAAAGTAGTCTAATAGTCTATGTCTCTACACGTATGTATGTGACAGTTTGTTTCTCTCATACACGCGGGTTTCCTCACATTTTTAATTAGAATTAATCATCATATTGCAAATGAGATTCGCACATTCAAATCTCAAAGAGCAAATGCGAGATGAGGTGCTGGAAGACGATCGCGTACTGTTTTGATTTTTATACTGTGGTATTAGCAAGTAATAATTATGTTCATACAACTTGAAAGTCAGTGTGGCCCGTTACAAGTGAGCTCTCAACGGACCAGATAACTCATTGTTAACTTTCTGTTCACTACGACTTGTAGCTTATCAGCTATATTAATATTATCAAGAGGTAAAGTTTGTGAGTTTGTGACCTTGTATGAGGTAATCTATGGATCTACTGAACCGATTTAGATGAAATTTGGTAAGAAGATAGTTTGTAACCTCGGGAAGGACATAGGATACCTACTTTATATCCCGGAAATCATCCTTTAAGGTGAAAATGGGGATGAAAATTTGTATTGGGAAGCAAGCTAGGGACGAAAGTACCTTTCTGCTGCGTGCAGAGCGCGCGCTCCTCGCGCTGCACCTGGCACACGGCGCGCGCGCGCGCCGCCAGCGCCGCCACGCTGTGCGCCAGCTTGCGGTAGAACTCCAGCCCCTTCTGCGACTTGCCCAGCAGCTCCGCGTGCGTGTCGTACGACGTTATCAAAGCTGACACATACAAATTGTTATTATTATAATTATGTTTAATCAATTATATATTTAATCTCTCTAAACACGTTCTTAAAAAATGCTTAATATCTTCACATACCTATAACCTATATACATAGGTGTACATAACTCTAAATATGTCCGTAACAACCATTTACTCATACACCTTACACATTATACACATACTCTCACACATACACACACACGCGCGCGCACATACATGTAAGCACATTACTGTACCTGTAAACACATGTTTGGTGTCCATATCATTAGCATGATAAATTTATTTTTTTAAACTTTTTCTTTTTTCAATGTTTGAATACCTACTCTGTTGTCCATTATAAGCTATCATAATAGAGTAATCTAATTTTGGACGTATTTGTGATTACGGCGCTAACTTCAAATCGATCGATTTAAATCACTTTAAAATCTATAATCTATGACGTATCTTGCAATATATATATTTTTTTATTTTTTACGAACAATAAATCAACTGAGATGTTCCATATCAACGAATGCGTTCTTATTATTGTCGTCATTAAAGCAATATATGATGTAACAATAAATATAAATAACATTTTGTCAGATACATAAATAATAAAAAATATACTGAAATTAATATAATATTCATACCAAAAAAATATATATTTAAAGCATTTAAAATATATTTAAAATTATATATAATCACCATTTATAAGTCCTTCCCGTTTTCTCAGAACATCGGACAGCATGCGGCGGGACTCCCCGTACGACGCGTACAGCGACGTCAGCTTGTTGATTATATTCTCTTGAGCGGCCAAGTTCTGTTCGATTATTTTTACCTAAACATAATATATAATAATTATTGTTAAAGGAAAATTAATATTAAATTAGGTGATTTTTTAAATTGACATAACTTTTTTATTTAAGGATCGATTAAAATAAAACAATGTTAAACGAAGCTTACCGCAATACATTAGTGAAAACCGCACCCAAATCGGTTAAGCCTTTTCTGAGATTAGCGCACACAAACGCACAGACAAACAGACAAAAATTCTAAAAATCATTGTTTTGGGTTCTATTGCATTAATAAAGACCGCCGACCGTGTGTGTACATACGGTTGACGTGTGGTCGCCCTATCTAGAGGCCTCGTTTAGCCGAGTGTATAGACAGTAGTAGTACGGTGGGCGTGTGCTTGTCCAGCTCCTGCTTGAAGACGTGGTCGCGCGGCAGGCCGGGGCGCGCCAGCAGCACGGCCGTCACGTCGTCGGCGGCGGCGGCGGCGCGCAGCTGCTGCACGAGCGCGTCGCGCTGCCGCTGCATCTCGCGCGCCTTCGACACCACGTACCGCATCTCCTTCATCGTCTCCCGGTCTAGACCTTCTGTCGGGGAACATTGAATATGTTGGGACAAATCTATACTAACATTATACAGAGGTAAAGTTTGTGAATTGTGAGTTTGTGACTATGTAGGGGGTAATCTCTGGATCTACTGAACTGATTTAAATGAAATTTGGTAAGATGATACTTTGAGACCCTGGAAAGTACATAGGATACTTTTTATTCCGGAAATCATCCCTTAAGGGGGTGAAAATGTTGATGAAAGTTTGTATCAGGAAGCAAGCTAGGGACGAACCCGAGCGAAGCGAGGGTGAGTCGCTAGTGTATTTGTAACTTACCAATGTTCTCGATACTGGGTATCTTGCTCTGCAATATATGCAGTGGCTGGGATAGGAGCCTAAGATTGGCAATATGCAGCGTCATAGCTTTGTGCAGCACTTGGTTGCTCTCGTTGGTCCGCGCGTGCGCTTCTTGGTACTTGTGGTACTCACGGGATATCTCTGTTTGCACTATGGACGGGGGTCGGGGCCCCATTTGTTTTTGATACTCTTTTTCCTTCATTGTATCTTCCTGAAGAATAAATTTTAGTCACATTACGTTAGATTAGTATCAGACTACTATCTACACTAATATTATAAAGAGGAAAGATTTGTATTTTTGTATCTTTGTAACGAATAAACTCAAAAACTAACAAGACCCTGGAAATGACATAGGATAGTTTTTATCCCTTAAGGAGTGAATATGGGAATGAAAGTTTGTATGGGGAATCAACTTTTAAATACGAAAGTTTAAGTGTGTTGGGTATACATATTTGTTACTCCTTTACTACAAAATAGCTGAACAGATATGGATGGACTTTAGGACAAAGATAGACTAGGACTGGGAGTAACATATAGGTATTCTTTTGAACACCTAAGTACTTATTTTTATTTTATTTATTTATACACTTTATTGTACACCACAGTATTGAAATAAATACAGTAAACAAAGCATCTACAAACAAAAGCAAAGCTTACTCGAGCAAAACGAAAACAAGTCACTTGTATGAGCTATATTTAATTTAATTTATAATTCAAAAATATACTTATTTTACCTTATATATTATTGAATTTTTATTTACCTGTATAAGGTTCTTAATTTCATCAAGTGAATGCTCAACATCACTGATGATCTCTGCAAGACTGTTCATAGAATCTACTAGAATGGGAATAATCTCTCCTTTCGCGTTCATTGCGGCACATCTATCAACTATTTCTTGAGGAATTCTGTAAAATAATAAAAATATACATCAAAATTAGCAATCTATGGGCTTCCCCTTGGGCCTAGGTACGCATTTCTTTGTAATAAAAAAAATTATTATTCAACATGGGCCAGCCAAATGGTCTTCCCATTTATGACACTGCACTGTCGTGCGTACATAAATGGCTTTGATTTTTTTGCCTTCTCTAATATTTTTTTTATGATTTCATCTGAGACCGGTGTATTTTATAGTACAACTAGCTGACCCGGCAAACGTTGTTCTGCCATATAAATTATCAAAGAAATCTAACGTAATATACAAAAATACTAAAATCGCGTTAAAAAATGGGGGATGGGGGTAGGACGTTTAAAAATACTTTACCTATTCTCATACCTATCAAATATATAAAAAAAATTCATTAAAATTGGTCGAGCCGTATCGGAGGAGTTGACCACAAACACCGTGACAAGAGATATTTATATAATAGACTTTCATTAATTCTTTCAAATGCCTAACTAAGGATTCTACATACAAGCAAAGCAGATTGTTCATCCCATTTAAACCTTTCAGAATAGAACAGTATCCCATGACCTTACAGAATGGTCAAGTTCAAATATACCAAATTAGAAAGCAGTACAGCCATTTTGTCACAAAAACCAAGTGGGCAAAATGTTTGCCTTTTATTTTTGATATTAAGCTATTATTTCATTATAATGTGAAATACTTCATTGTTGGAAAAGACATTAAGAGCATTAAAGTAAATAAATCTCTTAAGCTATTAAACAAAATGTAATTTTGGTATTTCTATTGACCCTTATTCCCAAATGCGCAAATTATCAACTTTTTTAAATCACGTCATCATGTTAATATTATCTTAAAAATAAACATTCCGTTTTATAGAATGTTTTAGTAATAAATATTTCTGTTGAGTATTTCCATTTGAAGGGTCAATGACCATGAATGACAAGTCAGTGATAACAATCTGATAACAAAATTCTAAAATTAACTTTTTTCAACTGGTTATTTAATTGAATGCTTCAAAATCATCTTAACATTGAATAATCTATACATAAAATAGAATTCTAACTGAGACGAATCTGTACATTAAATATTTTTTGGAAAATCCTATTGAAATAGTCGTTATTATCGATACAGAGGCTAAATCTATAGTTTTTAGAATGTTTGTCTGTGTGTCTGTGACCACATCACGGAAAAACCACTGGAGAGATTTTGATGACATTTGGTATTATGATAGCTGGTTATTTGAGTCAACATATAGGATACTTTTTACTGCAGAAAAATATCAGATCTCTGAGAAATCTATACAAACCGTTAAAACGTTTCTAGGGACGAACCCGAGTGCAGCAAGAGTGAGTCACAAGTCAATAACTAAGGAGCTGTATATAGAAAAGGTCTTTTTTCTGATAAATCAAAAGACCCAATTCATGAGAAATAACAAAGGCGATATATGTATGTATGTCTACAGTATTGAGCATAAAACCGCTGATCAGAATATTTAATATACTTTTATCACATTACATTTAAACTGTTATATTAAATCATGAGGATTAAAGACAGACAAAATACAACTATAACTCCCTCTCATATTAAGGAGAGGTTACATATACATATATATATGTAAATGTTATAGCTTTAAGAAAATAATATGCAAAAGTAGAGCCACAGGTTTTAATTAGTCTTATATATTACAATAACATAACTTACTTTTGATCAGAGTCCAAAATGTCTAATTGATCTAGCTGTAGAGAAGACATAAACTCTGTAAGTTCAGTGTTCTTTGCATCAACTTGACTGCCGATGTGGCGAAGCAATTTGGCCTTCTCCTCAGAATACAACGACGAGGCCTCATGAGCTACCATTGGAACTAATCGTGAAAATATATCTGATCCCGCTACCTGAAATATTAATATGTAAAGTATAAATATAAGTAATAAATTTTACTATCTTCATACTTTTCATTTTAAAGCATGCAGAAAGATATAATTACGTCATATGAGCATGTAGCTCATGAGTGATTTGCAGCGAGTGATTTAGGTTTGTTAATGCCATGCAATTCCTTAGTATATTTTTAATATATTTTTATTACGCGATTTCTTCAGTGTACATTGATAACGCTAAAATATTCTCCATGGGTATCAAATGTCTTGGCAATCGGTTGAATGGTGAGAACCTTATAAGGTTGACAGCTTATAAGCTGCAGCATGCATAGAAACCCTCTCAATATAAAAACATTTATATGACTAAAAATTTCAATCGACTGCTGAAAAACATTCTATTAGGAAAAGGGGGATGAATAAAAAAATCATTTACATTTAGGAGTTAAAATTTGACTCCAGCTTATCTGTAACTTAAAGAAATCCAGAAAATAATATACATATATCAGAAAATGACCATATATGGCAGTGCCAATTAAAAATTATACTATAAATATTGTAGCCAATGATTTTAAACAAATTTCTCAAATAGATATGAATAGAGAAGTTATCAAAACAAACCTCTGGATCATTAAAGTTGATGGCTACAGCACTAACAAGGCACACGGGCTTTAAATCTGACAGCATGTCTTTTTCAGGCACTTCTTCATGGTAGATAAACTCATTCTCATTTTTAGCTGCTTTTCTTTTTCCTTCAACTACATCATTAGTGAATGTTAAAGCTTCCTGAGTTATTTGCACAGGTTCTATATATTTGGAAAGTTTTCTTGCTTCAGCCAGTTTGTCCACCGCCTGTTGGTAAAATGCAACTCTCTCGCCCATCTTTTGTTGTTCTTCTGCATGCATACCTAAAAATAGAACAATATAAGAATATGATAACACTTTAACTCCTCCATATGCCAGGCCAAACAAGCAGTCCCATTAAAATGTATACCCAATCAATATTATGGTTATTAATTGTCAAAATATAATACTGAATTTAAATTACCTTGATACAAACACACAATACAGCCAATATATGACAATTTAAAAGACAAGTAGCGATGCCAGTAATTGTATAATTTTGTTCCAATTATCTCATGTATGTTGTCAGTGCCAGTTGATGGGCCTAAGTGAGCTAGAGAGTTCTTATAAAAGTACATAACTTGAGTAGCCACAGAACCTGCAATAAATTAACATAAATAACACTGATAATTTATTTAAAAAATAATCAATATTGAATTAGTCATTTCATCATTTCACATAATACAATACTTAAATTTAAAAGAATATTGAGTAAATTTTAAAATTTAAATGAAACAATAAATAAACATACCGATGACACTGGGTTTTCTCGTATCTTGTATACTTTTATCAAGAATACACTCTTGAGCCTGAGCAAAACAAATTTCTTGTAACAATTTCAGTATATCTGTAGAGACATCAGCACCTGGAGGTTGCGGATATTGTTCTCTCAGGAACTGGAAGGCCCATGCAGCATGTTGGTAATGCTGACATGCAGATTTAAGACTATCTGCAGATGTTCTTGGTTCAGATGAACCAAGCTGAGTGTGCAAAGCGCCAATGTTATACAATATGCAAGCCATTTCAAATTTTATATCTGCTAAAGAACAGCTCATGTTGGCATATAGATCTTTCCTGCAAAAATACATTTACACTTGTTTGTGATCTATTCAGAAGAAAATAAAATATTTAAATCATAATACTCTACATTAAAATTTATTACAAAATAAAATACTATAACACTGACAATACTATATTACATATTGACATTTATACTTTGTTTTTAAATTAATCTTCTATCTTATAAGATTTTTTCAATTTTTATAGTCTTAAATGATAAGAGAGAGAATCATAACTACTGTTGTTCAATGGTAATAATTAGGTCATGAAAAATCAATACATGAATGCTAATTTAATTGAATTTTATATTACCATGCAAAAGTACAAGCTACAGGTTGACCTTTTCCCATCGGAAATCGGCTTTGTATAGCTCGAAGCTGGCAAAAATATCTGATGAGTCCATTAAGCCCTGTCGCGTCAATGGTAGGTCTCACTGCAGTTGACCGTAAGCCTTCCAGCTGATGTATCTCATTGCCATAACTGTCAGGGTCTTCTCTGTACGCTTCTGCTATGTACTGGAAAAGTACTAGATCTTAGTACACAAAGAAAATCTAAAGAAATTCTTATCAAGAGTTTACTTACTTGTTTCAGTTTTGGACCAAAATGCGTATTTTCAGTGCTCACTTTGAGCTCAAAGCTTATTAAAGGTAATTTGGGTACCGCTTCCATGTTATTTATTTTTTTACACGATGTACTATTAAGAATTACATTGAAAGAAATTTCATCATAAATTGGATTTCTATAATTAATTGTTTAAAGTGTCATTTTTTGTTTGGATGAAAATGATGATCTGTGGAATATGACATTAGCATAGTAGAAAAATAACATAATGTAACTAGTTGAAAAAAATAACATTTTTTATTAATTTTATTTTATTTCCATATTTATGTAATATGTACTTCATGTTACAATATTTTTTGCTATTGAAATCAAAAATAAATAACAAAATCAATAAGCTGATATTTTTCCTTAAATAATTAATTTTAAAACAATAGAATGCACAAACTACACGGAGAGCAACGCATAGATAAAATAAATTCTAATGTTAAACCAAGTCATTCCATATAAAACACATTAAATCACTATTTACTAAAGTACGTATTTGTTTTTGAATTTATACTTCTTTTGGCACGTTAAGGAAAAAACGATGAGAGTGTTTTTTACGATGCGACAGATTTAGGCTACAGTATGAAGTCAGTCGTAAATCCCTTTAGTATTGTGTGATGTGATGCCTATATGCTAAATATTTATTCCGGTGTTTCTATATACATAACTCGTGTTTTATATCGATAAAAATTATAACAAGCTTTTATTTAATTTCACCTGCCCCAGTGTCTGTCTGTAAACAAATCTTGCAAATTAAATTTGATCCACTTTGCGTTAGGTTCTCGTGACTGCACGATTACCTAAATGCCTCCATTTTTAATCCAATATGGCAGACTTTACAAAATGGTGATTCATATCATATATGATCATTATTCATATCATATACACTAATAATATATACAGCTTTACTGCTACTTTAATTACCGCCAATAAGAATATCGGAAGGACACATCAAAGGACTAAGTTCTTGGAACTAAGGATGTAAATCTCTAGTATACGCACGACTGATATAAATAATAAAATAAATATAATTAATATTTAATAATAGAAATCTGTGGGGAAGGTCTGTATCTAGCAGTGGGTCCGTCTTTCGAGTTTCTGCTAGGATCATAGATATCATTAACTGAGATAATGATGATGTCTGATGATGAGCATTTTATTTACTTTTATTCTAGCAAGTGCCAAGTGGCAACATTTATTAATACTGTCAAATAAGCGTCGCCACTCGCCAATCGCCATCAATCGTTATTGATTTGTGTTTTTCTTTGATGTTTATGATATCGGCGTTTTTATTCTACGAATAAATGTTTCATATAATCGATAAAGAGTTTGAAAATAGAGCATAGCTTTTCATACGTCGAAAATGAAGTTGAAAAAACTTAAAGCGGATACAGAGGTGGGCTAATTTTAGTATTTTCTATAACCAAAATATGTATACAAAGTATATGGTATAAGTTGATCAACAGCTGTAATAATAATTCTAATAATGGAATACTAGAAGTGTTTCTGTTTGGTACTTATTTGTATTAATTATTTATTGCACAGGAACCGGCAGCGCCCGTACCTCCTCAAGCTGAGATTATTGAAGCTGATTTGTATAAACGCTCATATTTTGGACCTGACGTGCCAACTTTAGAACTGGAATGTTGGGAAGAAGAACTGTCGGAGGCTCAATTGAAGAAATTTAAAAATGCTGACGATGAATACAAAAGTATTCAAAACAAGCTTGATGTAATAGTCAAGGACACAGGAGGAGAAATTGTGTACAATGGCGATCAATTCACAGCTTATCAGTTGCTTGGAAAGTTAGTCACCTTGAGAATTGAACTTATATTAATATAATAATTGTTATGATATTATTAATTCTTTATTAAAATTTTAAGGCAGCCAGCACTAAAAGACTTAGAAAGGCAAAGCGCGGAAATTATTAGATCTCGATCCCGTTCTCTTTCTATCTGTAAAGAAAGAGATAAGGAAACCAAAAACAAAAGAGGTAAAACATTTTTAAAATTAACTTCTTATTAATTAACTAACAATGTGAGTTAATAAAATTATATAATATTTATTTTATATTTCAATCAAATCAAGGACGCCCTAGAAAGAACCGTGATGAAGACAGAGATTATTCACCATCATCTGATAGAGCAAAATCTCCAGAACTTAGTCACAAAAAGAAGAAGAAGGATAAAAATAAGAAGAAGGAGGATAGGAAGAAGGATGAAGAGAAGGAGACTAAGACAAAAGATAAAACATTAGCACCATCAAGTAAGATATTTTATAATTTTAAACTTTGTATTTGTAACAATAAGCTCACATCATTAAAAATAATGTTATTAATTTTATTTTATCTAATTATTTTTTCAGATGTGCATAGTGTGGTGACTAATGTGAGACCATCTGAAGCAACAGCGGTGGGTGGTCTGCTTACTGGAAGTGCTACCAAGACAACTGCTATTGTGGACCTGACTAAGGATGATAGCAATAAGAATGTGGCTGATTCTCGAGAAGTGTCATTCAATAAACTGCAAGGTAATAATTATTCCAATATTTTAATATTCATTTAGGATTTTAATTAAAAATTTAATTTTCCTATTTATGGAAAACCTTTATCAGTATTTCACTTACAAATAAAAGGAGATTCAAATAGCTAGTACTGTAACTTTAGTGTTACTTTTTTGTGTCTACGAACTACAAATATAGAGATAAATAAAAACATGATATGATGACCCTACAAATTAATCATATATTATCATATTCACAACACCTTTGGCTCAGTTTGTAGTGACCCTATTTGCTGTGCCAGTCGTTGAGGGTTTGAATCCCACTGGGGGTATCATTTGTGTGATGAGCACGAATATTTGTACTCCAGTTGTGGGTGCTTATATTTATAATGTTTATGTATTTAAAGTTATATATGTGTAGTGTATCAACCTTTTGGTATCCATAACACAAGCCTCGTAGCTTACCATGGAACTAGATGGTGCTGTGTGTTAATGTCCCAACATATTTATTTATTTATATTTCTAGGCAAGACTTTCCCATCCCTTGTGGTAGTAGCTCGCCCCTACCTTCGCTCCAAGGAGACTCCACCATCAGTGGACCGTGCAGCTCTAGATAGTAAAGTGAAGTCAGTACTTATTCATACACCAATGAAGTTTACCGAGTGGCTCATACAGCAAGGATTGGTCAGGTCGGAGCAATGGTGTGCTATACATGCTGGAAATAAACTAAAATTGGGTAAGAAAATTAAGAGATGTGGTAATTAACATATTTATCTATATGTATATTAAATTATATAAAAAATTAAGGAAATGAGTTTTGTAATACACTTCACTTACCAATCATTGTATATATAATGCATCTTCTCCACTCTGTGCAATATTAGTGTAGTAAATTGTTCCAAATGGCACTCCAAGAAGCCACGAAATTAAAGAATGAATTGAATACAGTTTGTAGGTTGTGATGATTATAACTTATTTTGTTACTGGTGGTGTGTGGTAATTTTATTAACTGCTTCGGTGATGTAGTGGCTAGCATGTACGGCTGCACCTACGGGTAGGTCCTGGATTCGAGTACCGGGTCGAGCCAAGTTGAGTGCACGTTATGTCTGCGCGTACACTTGTGCACTATAATATCTCCTGCGCAGTTGGCTAGTCTCAATGAGATTGGCCGCCGTGCCGGAATCGGTCAGGAGAACATTATTATTATATTATTTAATATTTTATTATTGATATTATAAATGCTACATTAGAACAAAAAAAAACAACTAAACTTAACAAACATTCAAACTACAAACTAATTCATACTGATGATGATGATGTTGATGATGTTCTCCTGACCGATTCCGGCCACGGCGGCCAATCTCATTGAGACTAGCCAACTGCGCAGGAGATATTATAGTGCTCAAGTGTACGCGCAGACACAACGTGCACTCTCTATTCCTGTCACTCTCATACTCCGATGGGACGACCACTCGACACGACCGGTGAGAGTTAAGGCGCAGGACCGACAGCTTTACGTGCTCTCCGAGGCACGGGGGTGAAACACCGCCAACTTTCCAACTCCGGGCTATTACTGAGTCTTTCTATACAGAAAGACTCAATAACTAAACTTGGCCCGACCCGGGACTCGAACCCAGGACCTCCAGGTGTGCAGCCGTACATGCTAGCCGCTACACCACCGAGGCAGTTAATTCATACTATGCATGTAATTGTGCATAGTAATTAAAATAGATCTGTATTGATTCCAATGAATTCCCCTAATGGAATATAATATGTTATTTGTTAATTTCTTTCAATGGAATTAAAATACACTTTGGTTTCATAAAAACACGAAAAATTATTCTTGACACAAATTATTTCTTGATAACATACTAACTTTTACCTGCGGTTCTGGTCGCTTAAGTTATAGTAATAAAGTTATAATAATATAATTTCAGGCATGTATTCCGACGTATCGAAGTTCCCCTATTCCGGTGGCTATGTATGGATATCCGAATGCTGTCCGACGCGTTTCGTCTCAGTGTTCTCTAGCTCTATATTCGAAGGCGCCACCTTCCCACCCAGTGTGCTTCTCAAACTGATATACCATTGGGCGTGCCAAACTAACGTTCAAAATGTCGTACAATGGGTCAAAGTCGACAACCTATATGTAAAGGGATTGTTCACTTGGCTAAGAGCTATATGTACATCTGCTATACATCATCATATGGGTTTGTTGGGCGGTCAAGGGAGAAAAGTGGAAGTTGGTGTCATATCCCTCGGAACGACCAGTCATGATGGCACACAGAGACAGGTGAAGGTGGAAGTATTGGGTGTTTTGGATCCGGCCGAGAAATTGGTAAGAATTTTGTTTCTTATTCATATGTATACAGATAAAGAAAATTGAAATGTCTGTTTGTAATGTCAAAAAAAAAGCTTTTTACTAAATACATATGGAACTACATAGAGTATTTATAAGAAAACCACAATTTTTAAAATTTTTGTCTGTTTGTTTCGGCTAATCTCCAAAACGGCTGGGCCGATTTTGACGGACTTTCACTGGCAGGTAGTTGATTTTATAAGGAGTAACGTAGGCTACTTTTATTTCAGTACAAGAATTAGGGTTCCGCTCAAAAAAAATTAAATGTCCTTAGGGACGAATCCGAGCGAAGTGAGGGTGACTCGCTCGTAGTTTTTTAATTATATCATAATATAGCAATCACTTTCCAGGTATGCCTAAAAGTTTTTTTTTCTTATTAGATCCGTCTCCGAGCAGTGGAGCCATTAGCAGAGTATGAAAAGAACTACAAAAAGCGTTTCCAGAAAATTCTGGAACCCCTCTCAAATTGGGTTCACCCTTCATCTACAATTGTGACCGATTTGACAGTAGATAAAGGAACCCTAGTCTCTATGGGCTTTAAAACAGTTCACCAATCTTCATCCCATTCGGAACAACCAACAAAGCACAGCAATGCGAATATAATGGAATATCTCAGGCGTATAGTGCCGAGAATGTTCCAGAACACACTGTCATTGCTTTCGAGGCAGATAATACAGCAGTTCCTTGATGAATTGGTGTGGAGAGAGAAGTAAGTCATAGTTTTCGCATATAATTATTGGTTTTCATATCTCTTTGACACTAAAATAACTATTTTAGAACATATTCCAAGGATTTTTTTTCTATGTTCTGAGACTTATCTACTATTTTTGCTATCTATTTCAAAATAAGTTCCAAATAAGAGAAATCATTTAAAAAATATGATTTTAATTGTATTGGTGCAATGGCTTTGTAAGGGAAATTAAAAATTTAGAAATATGATTTTTTTTAGTCCTATATTCTAAATAAATTAATATCATTATGTATTTTTTTCAAATTTTAATCAAGCAAACATTTGCGTTAGGTTTGGCGTATCTCCCGGACAGGCATTCGACAACATCGTCCTGCATATCGCGGAGCAGACCAAACTGGACGCCAAAGACCCCATAACCATTCGCCTTAACAAAATCGCTGCTAATCCATTCAAAAACTGGAAATATCCTACTAAGGTATAAAAATTGTTTTTAATTAATCTATACAGATAGATAAAATTGAAGTGTCTGTTCTAATGTCAAAATAACAGCGATTTACTAAATGCATATGAAATTATATACGTTGCTTATAAGAAAAACGCACTTTTTAAAATTTTTATCTGTCTGTATGTTTAATTTATATAGAATTGCTTACTAAAACTTGAATATTGGTTTTCATAAATCTAAACTAAGTAAAACAAAAAAAATGAACAAATTATGATAATGTGGACCTCCTCCTTTTTGAAGAAGTCGGTTAAACATTAATAGAAAAAGATGATAAATATTATCAATATATCAAGTATTTTTCGCCATTGTATGACGGAACTGAATCGAATACTGTATCTTTATCCTTATCTGAATTCGCATAGGTTTTAAATGCAGTTTAGTAGGTAAAAATTCATTCACATTCGAAAACTTCACAGGGATGGCTAAGCAGTGACAAAAATGTCATGAGATGCTCAGGCCGGTACATTAAAAAAAAACGTTATTTTTAAATAAAAACATGCAACGCTATTTTTGTAATGTAATTTATTAGTCTTCTATGACTCTTATTAGACTTTTAGTATATTCTTTAAATGACCTAGCACTGAATCTTCACTGAGAGAATTGCTATTTGTAACTTTCTAAAAAAATCGACGACACGTTTGGCTCAGTTTGTAGTGACCCTACTTTCTGTGCCAGCTGTCGCGGGTTCGAGGCATTCATTTGTGTGATGAGCACGAGTATTTGTACTTCATTCATGGGTATTACATATATAAATTTAAATACATACATATTATAAATATGTGTAATGTATCAACTGTCTGGTATCCATAACACAAGCCTCGTAGCTTACCATGGAACAAGATGGTGATGTGTGTTAATGTCCAAACATATTTATTTATAATATTCTTCTATTCAATAATAAAGTTCACCATACATTATTATTAAAGAAAAAGGAGCGGGTAGAAGAACCAGAGCCCGAGCCGCGAAGCAAGCGCGGAAGGAAAAAGAAAGAGCCGTCGCCCGCGCCGCCGCCCAAGAAGAGAAAGAAGGAAAAGACTTCGTACGTCGAAGATGATGATGAGGAGGAGGTGAGTGAGGATATCCTGGTTATGCGGCTTTCTGTTAAATCTATATTATAGATTTTTTTTAATCTTAAGAAATAAATACATAACTGAGTAAAAGAGTAAGTAATCTATGTAGGTCTTATACGCTTTAAGCTAACTTAAGTTTGAGAATATTTCTTATAAGTCTCCTTTTACATTTAGCTCATCAATAAATAGATATTACGTATGTTATTATTTGTATGAGACTTTTTCTGTCTGCAGGAATGTGTTCATGATTATTCTTACTGGCTTAGTTTTGAGATGTCTATCATCGTCCATCTAACACTATAAATCGCAAAGAAGGTCGCGAATTTAATTAAAGCACTTAAAATAGTACTAAAAACATACAATTTATATATTCCACCAGGTGCCGCTAGCGCTGCGTCGTACAAAGATCAAGCAAGAGAAGTCTAAGGAGAAGGAAGAAACGCCTCGCAGTCGCCGCAAGGTGGCGCGCTCGTACGTCGACGACGACCTCGATGATATACCATTGAAGAACATCAAAAAGGAGATCAAACCGGAGGAAACTGTGTCCTTGGAGAGGTTCTACTTCGGTCAGACCATTGAAGGAGAGCCGGATAATGTGGCTATTGCTGTGGAGGTTTGTTATGTTGTCTGTTAATAATACTTTCTTAGATTTATGCGAATATTTGACATTTCAAATAAAACTACATTTCAGTCTCTCCCGTGACCATGATTGCTCTAAAGCATTCGAAACGACGGGAAGCAAAAATCTAAATAAATCCGCAAAATAATCCGAAAATATAGTTTTATAAAAAAATCATAGATTTTCATGATTTAAAAGGCATTTGTTTGCAGACTATATTAACAATAAATTATAGCTTATCAAATATATATTAAAATTGAATAGTTACATGTGTTGCTAAGACATACAAAAAACTCGAGAACGACTAGTGACTAGACTAATTCAGCTATTTTTTTTATTTAAATATTTGGTAAAGTCGAAGTAGGATCTTATAAAGAGAACACTAGAAAAAAATACCTGGTAAAACTTAAAACACAATTTTTCTAATCGGGTCTGCTACACACTTAATTTGACACAACTAGGTCTGTTGGGTCAGCTAGTATCTCATAAATTATAGGCTTATAATAATTACTAAATCAAAGCATTTACAATATGAAGAAGTATTGTGAAATTTTGGTTTATATCGCAACTAAATAAAAAATATAGATATATGTGATATGCATGAGGATTTAATTATTCATAAATGGCCAGTGCTTTATCTCTCCAGCGAATCATTTATAATGTAAAGTTATAAAAAATTCGTATAAATATAGCAGATAAAGAAATAATATATAAATAAAATGGTACTATCTTTGTTTATTTAATTTCAAATTTATCTATAGTGTGTGACGAATAATTTTTGTTAATAAAAATATGTAATAACTTAAAATGAAAGATACATAAAATAACCATATTTTACAATTTTCGTATCTAATTATACGATCTGACAGCCCTGAACATAACGTCTATTCAAGAATCATTGCATGTCGCAGTCAAACAATATAACAAAATATGATTATCCACAGTGTCCACTCTGCCACGAAGAGTTCAACGAGAGCCAGTTGCTGAGCGAGCACATCTCCGCGCACGTGGTGCCGGCGCCGGCGGGCCCGCAGTGCCCGTGCTGCCTGCAGCGCTTCCTCTCCCAAGAGGACCTGGACCAGCACCTCCAGAGCTCCCACCCGGTGGACACCAAGAGCCCCGGTCTGTTCACTTATGCGTGTCTCATTTGTGAGGTAGGTTGGTCGTTCTATGTATGCTAGTTTGTTAGAATAAGGTAGTATTTATATAAAAATAACGCATGATAAAAAATAAATAAATATAGCAACCACTATATCGTTCCGTGTGTGAGTCAGAATTGCACTTATCCGATTTTTTTACTTGTTAGTTTTTGTATTAATTGAATATATCTCGTGTGTATTACATTAAGACAAAAAAGATCTTTACGATAATCCTAGGGCTACTATCGGATAATTGAATTTGCTTACATAGATCAATTATATATCTCTATAAATTACAGACAATGTGTTATTTTCAAGTGTAAGCTATATTGATGTAAAGTTTCATCGAAATCGTTCCGCAGTTTATGCGTGAAATATGCATTCGTACAAAGTTTCCGTGTCTATTTGTATGTAGATCTGTATGTGTCTATGTATATAATCGGTGTGTCAGGTGCGGTTCGCGGCGGTGCTGACGCTGGCGGCGCACATGCAGAAGGCGCACGCGCCGCGCGAGCTGCCCTACGCGTGCGGCGCCTGCGCCTACCGCGCCTCCGCGCGCCGCGCCGCGCGCGCCCACGCCGCGCGCGCGCACCGCCGCGCCGCCGCGCTGCACTGCCCCCACTGCCTCAAGGTACGCCATCTCCGATATTATACAAACTAGCGACTCACCCTCGCTCCGCTCTAGTTCGTCCCTAGGTTGATTTCCCATATAAACTTTCATCCCCATTTTCACACCCTTAAGGGATGATTTCCGGGATAAAAAGTATCTTATGTCCCTCCCGGGGTCTCAAACTATTTTATTACCAAATATCATCTCAATCGGTTCTGTAGATCCAGAGATTACACCCCGCAACCTTTGAAGAAGAAAAAAGATTTGTTAAAAATAATTTAAAATTTAATTTAAAAAAAAGGATAATTTCCATATATGTAATATATATGTGTATACATTAAATGCAGGTGATCCCAGTGTACGCGGACGGGCACGAGCTGAGCGCCAACGTGCTGCTGTACGTCGACCACCTGCGCCAGCACCGCGACAAGGAGCTGGAGGTGCGCTGCAGCAGATGCGTGCTCCGGTTCGTGCACCTCGGTCTGTATACACGATGAACTTTTGAAATATGTACTTATTTAAACAAAATTAAAATGTTTAGAATTAATAACTGCAAATATTGTAAGGTAGTTTGGTGTTATTTTTAAATTTTTGAAATCATAAATCGTAACAACTATATAACGCCTTTGAGATCGATGATAATCGATCAAAAAAGTACTAAATACACAATCAGCGACAAAAAAATTTGAGCGCGCTTTTATTTTTTATTTTTTTGGCGATAACAACTTTAAACTTAGCATTTAAGGTTCAATTTACATTGTTGTATATTTATTTCAACTAGAATAATTACTCAAACACAATTGGTAAAGAGAACTTTTGCGTGGGATTGTGTATCTAGTACTTTTTTGAACGATAGTATTTATAAATAAATGATATCTTGTTCTTCCTGATCTAACGTGTGTGCTCTATAGAGCATGTCGAACTACTATTATAATTTGCGAACGTTTGTATGACTGTATGTTTGTTGCTCCTTGACGCCAAAACGGCTGGACGAATTTGGATGAAATCACAGATCATGACCTGAGTATCACATAGGCTACTGTTAGATAGCTAGAAACGGTGACAGGCGAGAGTAGGTCTCTAATATTTAATAAGATAGCATACAATATAAATATTCTATAACATTGTTGGTTCGAAATACGTTAAATGAATAAATTTTTATATAGAATATTGCTTTATCTATACAGATTAATAAAATTGAAGTGTCTGTTTGTAATGTCAAAACAACAGCGTTTAGTAAATGCATATGGAATTATTACGGTATTTATAAGAAAAACACAATTTTGAAAATTTTTGTCTGCCTGTCTGTCTGATTGTCCTGGCTAATCTCCGAAACGGCTGGGCCGATTTTGTCGGGACTTTCACTGGCAATTAGTAGATGTTATAAGGAGTAACTTAAGCTACTTTTATTTCAGTAAAAGAATTAGGATTCCGCTCAAAAATATTAAAATGTACCTAGGGGCGAACCCGAGCGAAGCGAGAGTGAGTCGCTTGTTAATAATTTTTTTTTTTCAGGCCAACTCAAAGAACATCAAATACGCGATCACAATAGTAGAGATGACATAATTCCGCTATGTTCTGAGGAGCATTTGATTAATCAGCCCAAGGTAATAATATACTTTTATAAATCCTGTTAATTTTTTTTAATATTACAGAAATTATACACTGATTTTAATTTGGCGGGAAACAAAAAAGCTATTACATGTATGTTATATTTTTTTTCGATTGAATTCACGATTATTATTCTAGTGTCCACCTTTAAAAGTGGTATAGTTAGTTTTAAAAATATTTACAAAGTTGTTAAAATGTTAATTAATAATTTTTATAATATAGACTTAAATCAAATTAAAAAATATATTTTGTTATATTTTTGTATATAGTTGATATATTTTGTTGTGTTTTCAGAAAAAAGCTCGTCCGCCAGTGAAGGACTGCGCGAGCCACGCGGTGAGCGAGACGTACGAGGCCACGACGCTGGTGCTGCCCGACGGCGCGCTGTGCCGCGAGTGCGACACGCCGCTCGACAGCGCGCAGCACTTCCTGTGAGTTGTCTGCTCTATGCGCTCTGTTCTATGCTCTCTGCTTCTGCTCTCTGCCATAGAATATACATACGTCGTCTTAGAACTTATTTAATATTTTCACACTTCAAACTAACAATACTTGTTGTGCTTTACAGTAGAGTTTTTTTCTCTACATTAAAAACGTAACCTTATTTATAAGATTTATTAAAGTAATATATGTGTACAGTAGTAATATAAAATATACCAATAGAATCGATATTTAATTTAATAGTCAATAATTCTGTATTAAAAACTCTGTCGGCAAATTAGTAATATTTAATTCAAATCAATTAATAAGTAAATTCTTTAACCTAAGTAAATTGTTGACAACAAAGTGAAAAATAACATGTTTTTTTATTTTTCCAACGGGGATCTATTCTGAAGCCTTTCAAGAATAGCTCCAAGAAAGGAAAAAGTCTCAAATTTGCAAGGTTCAAGCAGATTTTTTTTTTATTAACTATTGCATAACTTATTGAAAGATTGTGATAAATAAATCAGGCAGATTATTGTTCATTTATCTATCCAGTAAGCCGCTGATTTTTCTCATTTCTTAAATTTTATATTTAATATGTTCAAATAATTTTTGTTGATAAAGCGTCCGAAGTAGGCGTGGCTTGCGCAAGCCAGAGTACCCGTTTTTTGTCGTATCTTCAACCCTCTGGGAAAATTATAAATATTGGTCCTACAGTTCCGGGAAGAATTTTTTAAGAAATTTCATCCTCTTTTTAAACTTCTTTTTTCCTTCCTTCTTTTTTTTTGGATTTGAAAATCTCAATTCGTTATTGAGATATTTGCAAAAAAAACTAAACCCCTTTTTCATTTTTAGTCAATTGCATATAACTTTCGCAATTTTTATAAGGGAAACTAGATTTTTTTCAAAACATTTTTTCATAAATTTGACATAGTAACAAAAACATAAATAAATTTAACCAACTACATAGGCACTATTTAATTAAATTAATGAGTGTAATATCATCCTCATCCTCAGTTTGCTGATTGAGTTTTTTTAGGTTCTTGAGAGAGTTCGGTTTGCTGATCGACAATTTAAAGAGTTGCAAATTAAATACGATTATATTCATGAAAGATAATTATCAACCTATACTTATCATGATAATTATCATTTCGAACCCTGACTATTATATTAAATATTCGTTCTCAATATCAATATTTTTATTATCACTGCATGTAAACAACAGTTCTGTGTTAATTAATATCTTAGACATCACACGACACAAATTCAAAAGCATTTATTAATGATCGGTATCCCCTTGCTATGGCGTGTGCGTGCAGCGGCCGCACGGCGTGCAGCAAGTGCCCGTACGCGACGTCGTGCTACCGCGCCATGCTGCGCCACAGCGGGCTCTGCGCCGGCGCGCACTCGCTCGAGACGGCGCCGCGCCGCGCGCCGCGCCGCCTTCACTGCGTCTGCTCCTACTCCACTGACATCGGTACGTACTGCGGCTACTGTGTGCAGCGCTAGATTTACACTAGGAGCACTCGGGGCTGAGGCCCAGGGCGACAAAATTTGGAGGGCAGAAAAAATTTTTTTTTTCGCGTTATAAAAAATATTTCTTTTTCAAAAAATCAACTAGTACATTTTTCGATTAATTAATAATAAAAAAAGAAAAGAAGAAAAGGTTTAGAGACCAAACGCGTAGGCCGATTTTTATTATTCATACGTCGTTAGATTCGTGTTGATAACGCAAGTGTTTAAAACACTCGATTTATCAATAATTATGGGCTATATAAAAATAGTTCAAAATTATAATAGCGAATTTCAGGCGTCATTTTGCGGTTTTTTTAAATCTTACAAACCAATCCAGTGGGGTATCAAAATAAAGGATTTTAAGAGGCTATCACAAAGATATATTCAACTTATATGTTTAAAAGTATTTTAAAAATTGTTAAATATAACATCATTTGTCTAATTGGCAAAAACTAAAAAGCTGTAAATAAAAAACCCGATTGCATGAAAGCTAACTAAAAAAATGAAAACGAGTTGACGAAAGAAAAAGACCTTTTTAATAAAAATAAAAACCGACTTTTCAGGCACTAAAACGTAAAAAACCACTAAACGGCATAAGCCGATGCAAAGAAATCTAATATATTTCGATACGTAAAGTACAAATTTACCTATTAGGTATACATGTCTTAAAATATTGTCGGCTGGCACTGACTTCTGAAGGGAACTGACTGAAAATGTCTGATTAGGTATCTATTCTAAATAAAAGCCTCAGTTTAGTTATTTTTTACATTATAGTGCCTGGAAGTCAGATTTTTTTTAAATTTTTAGTTTAGACGTAATAAGCAGGTAATTTGTAAGAAGAAAGTTTTTTAATAACATATGGTTGATTTTTTTTTAAAACCGCTTGACCGATTTCGATAAAATTTATATGGGGCCACCTGGGAAATATACCCTTTGAAACATTTCCATATCGGCTCAGGCGTCGTCAAGTAATCGGTGAACATACATTAAAAAAAAAGATTCCGACGAATTGAGAACCTTTTTGGAAGTCGGTTAATAAAGTATTATGTAGTCGGAGACATACATAGTTTGCATTCATTTTGCGGCAGGGATGAATTAACCGCGAAAAAATCTAAAAACCGAAAAAATAGTTTTATTTTGAGTATAAGAAAATTGAATAAATATAAAAATCTTTAATTCACAAAACAACATAAGCTCAATAATATAACACAATATTCTAAACCAACACATTACCCGGCAGGCACGGACATGCTGTCGCACCTGCTGTTGACGCACCACTCCAGCGCGTACGAGTCGGAGGAGGAGGCGCGCGCCAACGCCGTGCGCGACGACGCCGCGCCCGCGCCCGCGCCCGACCCCGCGCCCGCGCCCGACCCCGGCGACACTGTGAGTTGTGACATGTTGCTGTTTTGTTTTTTAGGGTTCCATACCTCAAAAGGTAAAAAAGGAAACCTTATAAGATCACTCTATTGTCCTTCTGACTGTTTGTCCGTGTGTCACCACCGATTTTCTCAGGAACGGGTGGACCTAGCAAAAATCTATATATTATGATTATTTATGATCTTTGAGATCATACAAAGATTAACTTATATATAACTTTTAAAAAAAACTAATTCAGGCTATTACGAACATTAAAAATCGTTCCAGTAATGCGCTTGCTTACAAAAAATAATATATTTTTACAAATAATCTCTACAACACCCAGCCTATGGAGAGCATGCCGGCGATGGCGGACTATGCGCCGCCCTCCGTCATCAACACGCAGCTGTCGCTGGACGACCTGGCCCCGCCCTCCGTGCTGCAGCCTGATCAGGTCAAGAACCGAATACCTTACCTATTGTACCTTACATACTCTTTATTGAACATCTCTACAAACAAATATTTATCAGTGCTAGAATCCTAGCGACTCCACTTGTCACTCCCTTTAGGGATGATTTCCGGGATAAAAACTTGTCATGTCCTTGCCAGGGTCTCAAACTATGTCCATGCCGAATTTTATCTAAATCGGTTCAGTTGATTAAGCGTGAAGAGGTAATAGACAGACAGAATTACTTTCGCATTTATAATATTAGTGTGGATGTATGGGATATGCAAGAAATTATTATTTAATCCAAATATTATATTTTGTAGTTCTTGTTACTATACAAAAACTACTACTAATTACTACTCTTCAAATACTATTTAGGTAATAAATTAAAGTAAAAAATTAAGTATATTTAGTACATTTAGCACACACACAGACACATTTACATAGTGAGGATATTGTTTAAAATAATTGACAATGTTTGTGTTTTAAAAATCAAATAATATTAATATGTTAAATATTTTTTATACTGACTATTGTGTAAATCTGAGTCTACTTTTATTGGTTTTTTGACATGTCAATTGTCAAGGCTTAAAAATCGTCATTGCGATATCTTATGACCGTTTCAATAATAATTATTATTATCAATGTTTATATATAATTACTAGCATTGCCGGCGGCTCCGCCACGCGTTCAGATGATCAAAAACCAAATTCTTAGGTTTAACATATTAGTATACTCTTACATTGCAGTTTTTGTATTTTTTCTCAGAAATGAGACATTTTCCCGCGGTTAAAAGTATCCTATATGTTGACCCGGATAACCAGCTATCACCATACCAAATTTCTTCAAAATCCCTCCAGTGGTTTTTCTGTGATGCGGTAACGGACAGACAAAAATTCTAAAAACTATAGATTCGGCCTCTGTATCGATAATAATGTTTATTTCAATAAGATTTTCCAAAAAATATTTAATGTACAGATTCGGCTTAGTTACAATTTTATTATATGTATAGAGGAAAATCATTTATTTAAAAGCATATTGTAGAAGCAATTTCAATATATATATATATATATATAAAAATTGCTTTATATAACATATGTGCTTACTTATTCCTGTTACTTTTACAGCATGATCAGGAGCTTCTAAAAGACGCGTACGACCGCCCGCTGGCGACGCCGCGGCACGAGGAGCCGCACTACAGCCTCGGGGACTTCGAGCCTTTGCCTCAGGAGCCGCCCCCGCAACCCGACTTTGAACAACTATAAGGAATTTGCAATGAAAAACTCATACATGTGTAGATTTCTTTATTTTATACATTTTGTTTTTATATAAAAAATCTGAAAAAAAAACACCATTTAGATAAACTATAAAAATATATTTACATCATATGTCAAGGGATGATGTGATTACTGATTTATATGTTTAGGAATATGTAGGTTATGTTTTGGTTTCATTTAGAACATATAGTATATGTTAGATGTTCACATTATTTTAAAGAAAGAAATATCAGTCTTATGCACACTGTTTTGCTTCATTACTTGGTCTCTTTTAGATATATAAAGCATGTTACTGTGTTAAATGACACAATTATAATAATCAATTAGTCAAATCAATAATTTTACATTAAATGCACACAAATGTTTAATAAAATATGTTTAGGAATCACATATTATATAAAACATCTTACACTCAACATTTTTTTATGTAATTTCTTTATTGTCGTTTGTCTATTCACAATTAGATGGTGCAGAAATTTAAACGTGCACGAGAGCCAAAAATTCTTGCCTCTATACAAAGGCATTATTATTACATATACACACAGTATGTGTGAAGTTTGTTGTATAAATAAATACAACTATATATGATAATAATTGGCACAAAAACCACTCATGGTTTTCAATTCATTTCAATTATAGTTGTATCATGAACGAATTAGCCCCTGGACCCGACATATAAGCGGGTGTACCTTTACCGATCTTGTCAGTAAGCAGGAAATTCTAGCCTTGATCGTTTGTTTTTGCGTTAGTCTTAAGCACTTACTCGTACTTGTCAACAAAACATCTCCCAAAATGATTAAATGGTGTAAAAACTATAGCGGCGGAAGCAGTACTATTTCTTTTCACTTGTAAGTACATTATTTTATTACATTTATTGTTATTTATCACAAAATTTAATCAAATGTAAAATAAACTGTATTATCCAACTATGTTAAATATAGTCGATATTTCTATGTATTGTTGACATCTGATAACCATCCTAAAATGGTTGGATTATACCATTCAGAACAAATGACAAAACTGTCGAGTAAGTCTTGACATCGACTAGTGCTTAACAATGTCGAAAAATATATCAATATTTGACGAAATGACTGAACGAATGATGTTATTTGTACAGTACAATAACATAAAACCCTTTTATCACAGTATCCTACAATCTGATGACAATAAATTTATAACCTAAGAAAGTACTACATATTATTATAATGCCGTGCTTTTTTAGTCACTAGAACTAAGCTGTGATACCAAGGAATACTAGAATTCAAAATTTCAAGCATCCTCTTCAATTGCAACATTACTAATCTCTCCAAAAGTTGGTATTACCTTTAACGTTGAAATATCTATTATTATATGTACCATTTCAACCGACTTTAAAAAGAAGGTTCTCATTCTTCAGTTTTTTTTGTATGTTTGTTACGCGATTTCTTCGCAAAAAAAATCTCTGTAAGAATTTTTTTTGTATTCTAAAGAATATAGTCTCGAGGTGGTCTCATATAAATTTAATACAAACAAGCTATATCAATTTTATAATTGCAGCTGGTTTAGGTTTTCAAACCTGTAAATTATCTGCTAATATAAAGTTAAATCTCTTGTTTTTAGCCACAAGAAGTAAATAACAAGCATTCAATAGAAAGTGTTCAAATCAATCAAGACGTGGTAGTACTAGCTGAAAGTTTAAACCCGTTACAAGAAGATGTAAATTCAAAATAATTTTGTTATAAATTTTTACAGTTATTTCTGTTACTAAAATTGTATTAACTGGTTTTTAACACTATACTAAAGGATATACTGTCTATAATGTCTATATCGTCCCCTTTCTGTGTAAACCTCGTAACTCCATTTTTTTCGAAATTGAGATTTTTAGCGAAAATCACTCCTTAGCACTCTTGTAACGTAAAACAAAACATGCAATGTTCATAATGTTGATAGATTTTTTTTTAGAGGCTTTTGATTTTTCTCGTATCTACATGTTCGAATTCAAAAACCTCGTATCTACCGTAAGTATCGCTGAAAACGTTAAGATGGCGTTGTTGTCTTATTACTGAATGTTTGTAAACATGTTCACACTTAAGTTGACTGTATTTTGTTGATTGACATTTATTTTTTATTCATATGAATACATATAAGTATTAATATAAACCATAAGTAAGTATTATTTATTTAAATACTTAAAATTTCTTTTTTAAATAAAAATCATTTATAGAATTTTTATTTCACATCAAGTAAATAAGAAATAAAATTATTGTTCAAGTTATTTCTTATTACTTATTTTTCAGATTATCCTGCTGTTAATTTGTACATTATTCAATAAATTGTAAACATATTTGAAAAAAATAATTAAATCATATTATAAATAGTAATCATATGATTTATAACACATTAAATCAAAATCAAATTAATTTGTTTTAATTAATAAATATAAAATAATAATGAATTGAATGTGAAAGCCTTGCATAAAAAAATTTTTCGCCAATGATCTTATAGAAAAAAAATAAAAATTAATTTCAAAACCTCGTATCTGCAAAAAAGTTACCAGGGTATTTGATGAAAAAACTCGTATCTACGTTAAATTGATAATAACAACAAGGTATCGATGCAGATAGCAAAAATGATGTTTAATTATTTTAAGGTGATAAATAAAGAGTATAAATTTTAAATTAGTTATAACTTTTTATGAAAATTAAGTAACTCTAAACGTTTTTATCGATTTACTGAAAATTAAGATTTTGTAGATACGAGGTTTACACAGAAACGGGACGATATGCCAAATGTCTTATATGTATGTAATTGTTGAAATGTAATACATTGCTAACTCTAGATTTTAACGTATAGGTGCAGTTGGTGCAGAAAACAAAGTCTAATCAAGTTCAAGTATTATATTCTCCAAGAAAGCTTAGACTGAGAAAAAAGATACATGAACAATCTAAAAAAATTAAACGAAATACAGTAATCGCCGTTTAAGGAAAATAGTGACAACATTAGAAGAAATACTGAATTGTTTGACGGAAAAAAATCCTATAACAGAAGACGATAGTGCCGTATTGGAAAAACTTGGAGGAAAAACAAAGGATTTACTGAAAAGAATGAAGCAGAAAAAAGAAACTGGTACCGTTCCGTGTTCACGATGCTGATTTTTGATTTGAAAAAATTCATAATACTGTCCTGCTTATTTTAGTTTAATTAAAATATAAATACTGGAAGGTTACCTCACCTTCATTTTCCCTTTATTTCCTTTGTCTTACAGCTTATTTATGATACACCTTTTCTTTCCCATTCGAAGGTTCTGGGTTTGATTGTCAGTGCAAAATCAAACAATAATGTCTAAAATGCCTTTCATTTGTTCATCGATATATGTATTTTATCAATTACGTTCAAGCACTAGAAATAGAGTGATTTTTTATATATTGTGTATCTGTGTTTATAATAATGTAATAAAATGTTTGTGTGCATTATGCTTCGCTTGCTTGAACGAGTTTTCATGCATTTGAATTTTATATTGGGTCCAGTGGCTAAACGTAAAGTGGTTTATTAAACCTAAAACATTTTAAAGCTGTAATTTTGTGTAATACACATATATAACATACACTATTCAGTATGATTAATGTTAAAAAATTATGATAGTTCTATCAAAGTTATTCTTTCACCATAGAGATGTTGTAACTATTACAGAAATAAATAAAAATTAGTTTGATTATGATTTTTTTCTTTTCTTTTTAAATGATAATGTGACTTTATTAGTAACTCCATAATCCGATATGTTGCTCTCATCATTATCTAGGCTTAAACTGTCAAAGTTTAAATTGTAAGTTTTCCAGATGTACCTCCATGATATTTTTACTTTATTACCAGTTCTTCTTTGATGCAACTCAAAATGCCTTCTAATAGCTTTTTTCAAATCTCTCACTGTGGCACTCTGAGGGACCTTTAAAATAATTATAACATAAAAGTTTGCATTGTAATACATTTCTATAACCAAAAATGTTTTTTGTTTGTTTCATTATGTGCTGATTATTCACAATTATATGCTCTTTATGGCTATAGATACACAGAAGACATATTTTGACTTAGATGGCAAGTGAAAGTTGTGTATCCCTACTGCATTAAGAAAGTTGATGATATAGTTTACATTAGTAGTGTTGGAGGTAGCAGAAGTAAAACTTTGGTTCGAATACTTCATTCACTGCTTTAGTTATACAATACTGAATACCAATAGCCATGCTTGTTTTAACCAGACATTATCACCTTCAATTCTAATTATAAGAATAAATAATTAGCTAGAAAATAGTTTTACACTTACAATAACTTTTAACGGTGCCTCAACATCTCTTGATATAAAAATGGTAATAGATTGACCATGTTCTACAGCTATCTATGAAAAATAATTAAATTAGTCTAAAATAAATGCATCTAGTGAACTACAATTAACATCTCATTGTGAAATGATTAAATTTACAAGCACATGATTAATAAACGATTTAATAAATAAATTTGTTGATTATTTCACATAAAAGTAAAGTATGCATTCGTACCAAGGACTGAATTTCTTCTAGAATAATATCTTCAGGTAAATCAGACAATAGTGGATCTGAATTGAAAACACTTTTAAGAGATGACTTCGTTATTTCAAGAAGATCATCGTGTGACAGAGTAGAAGCAACTTCAGCGATTTGCTCCATTAAAATAAAATTAACTTTCCATAAAAATTATAATTTAATTTTTATGCACAATTTTTATTATGAAATTCTCATAATGCACAAAAATTTACTATATAATTTTAAGATAACTTCAAAAATGAAATTTTGTATCGCACATTAAAGTAAACAAATATGTGTTTTATACAAATATAAATTAAAACATACGGTTAAGACCGATTTACTATCAAATTAACAAATAACAACATTCATGACATATACCACAGTACAACATTTATGATTCAACTGTCAAGTGTCATGTGTCACAAGCATGGATGACAAAGTCACAATTATATTATAAAAAATTATTTATTCCCCTAGTGTCAAATAGCACCTTAAAAAAAGTTTAAAAATGCTATTAAAGAATGGAGATGATTATGCTTTTTGACCCGCCAGATGTCGCGATCATTATGGCACTGTTTATAAAGTTCTATAGCGTAGATGGTTTTTTTTCATTTCATTTTTTTTGTTTGTTTTTTTTACATATTAAAAGGAAACCATGCTTTTTATTTTAGTAGGACGACAACGAGCAGGGAGGAGTGTGGCTAGGATGGAAGGAACGCGTGCGAATTTAGGTAATTCTTTCGTATTATTAAAAAAAATACACATTTTGGAAATGTAAAGTGTATACGTTATAGAAAACGTATAGTTTTGTTATTATTAATTTTAAAAAAAACTACGGATTCTATAAATAAAATTATTTCATAATTGCCTCGGAGGCTCCTTAATTACAGAGTTTCACACAAACTTTTATCCCCCATTTTACCCCCTTATGGGATAGAATTTCGAGAAACATTAAAACATGTATTTATTTACTTGTATTGAAGGGCATTAATACCAAGTTTCAAATAATTTTGATCAAAAAAATTTTTTTGCCCATAAAACTATTACCTCCTTTTACGTCTTTATGGGATGAATTGCGAAAAAAAAAATTTCTTTTTTTTATCTTAAGCTAAACACCACTTTTTTTTTTCTTTAGTCGACATGTTTGGCTCAGTTTGTAGTGACCCTACTTGCTGTGCCAGCAGTCGCGGGTTCGAGTCCCGCTGGGGACATTCATTTGTGTGATGAGCACGAACGCTTGTACTCCAGTCATGCGCGTTTCTATTTATAATATGTATGTATTTATAGTTATATATGTGTAGTGTATCAACTATCTGGTATCCATAACACGAGCCTCGTAGCTTACCATGGAACTAGATGGCGCTGCGTGTTAATGTCCCAACAAATTTATTTATTTAATCCCATAATATTTAATCCCTATTTGACCCACTTGGAGATAAATTTCAAAAAATCCTTTCTTATCGGATTAGGCATCCGAAGAATATTATATGAGGAATACATCCTCCAAATTTCTCGTTTCTATAATCAGTCAGGACCAGAATGGACCTCTCCTTCTCCATTGTTCCTTCAGCTGGTTTAACTTCCAGGTAAAGCACACAGGTAAGATGCGAATATAATAGAAGCAAAAACCAGGTACAAAAGAAATATCGAATAATCTAATCTATCTATAATTGTTTAACCCGACTGAAAGTAAATAAATCATACGTGTAGCGGCTTCCTTTTAAGAAATTTACCCAATTAAGTTTTTAATTTATAATTAAATAAGTATAAATTCTTTAGAATTATTAAAAACATTAAACAGAAATCGAATATTGGAAAAACTCATTAACTTTTTGAATTTTCTTATGTAAATATAGTTCCATCATTTCATATTCACTAATTAAAATGAATAATAATTAATATAATTATAATTCAGTCATTATGACCCCCATATTCTTTATGATTAAAAATTCTGTAAAGTATATACATAGATCCTAGAGATTAAAGAACATTTTATATTATCTGTGGCCATTTTCTGAGTGATCAGTATAAAAATTTAAAATAATCTATTTCTGTGTAGTCTGTACTACTACTCTGTAAATCTGTTTGCTATTTTAGAGGTTAGAATCTGTACAGTGAATTGAATCACAATAATTTTATAACAATTCTTAAAATATTTAAATTAAAAAATGGATTCTTTATCTACGGGATCTCTTAGTGGTGCACAAAAAGAGGAATTAATGGACCAGGTGAAACAACAAATTGCAATCGCAAACGCGCAAGAACTTCTGACAAAAATGTCCGAAAAATGTTTTAAAAAGTGTATTAATAAACCTGGTACAGCTTTAGACAATTCTGAACAAAAATGCATAGCTATGTGCATGGACAGGTACATGGATTCCTGGAACCTTGTGTCACGAACTTACAGCAGTCGCATCCAGCGAGAAAGAAACAACATGTAAAGCTTGGTTTCCTAAATGTTAAGCTTATGCTGTGTTGTAAATATAGAGAACGTAGTTCTGAGCATGGTTAAAATTGTGAGTTGCGTCTAATATTTGTTGTTTAATAAAAATGTTTTAGGTTACATATCTTTTATTGAAAACCCAAATTAATATTCCAAATATTTACTATGTAACTTATTTACACTAAAGTTTTTATTATTAAATTGTAGATTTTAATTTCTTTTTATTTGCTACAGATATTTTCTATAAAACTAACCACAATAATTATTATATAATATACAATTATATTTCTTATAATATAAAATTAAGCTATCTATAGACAAAAAGTTTTATTTAGTAATTTATAATAGAAATTTGTTAAATTTCATCTTTTAGCATCTTTTTTCTATACTGATATAACTTCTTTATCCACATTTCCTTAAGCTCTTCTTGGCTAGGTATTTCCTGTAACATTATAAATTTAAATATAAGATTCACTGACATCAGCACAGGATCCAGTTATGTCAAAATACACCATGATAATTTTAGTCTTATCTATATTAATATTATAAAAAGGTAGTTTGTGAGGTTGTGGGGTTAATCTCTGGGTCTACTGAACTGATTTAGATAAAATCTGGTATGAAGATATTTTGAGATCCTAGGAAGGATATGAAAATGGCGATGAAAGTTTGTATGGGGATCAACCTAGGGGCAAACCCGAGAGAAATAAGGGTGAGTCACTAGTATATTCATAGAATTATATTTATTTAGTTTTCATTATAAAAAATAAAAATGGAGTGTTTGGAAAATCCTACACTTGTAATAAATATTGGATAGTTATCAAAAAGTGATAATTATCTCAAGGTCCATTACAAGATAAAAATGTTAATTAAATTAGTGAATTTCATGTTTTTATTCATTTCACAATACAGCCTCATGAATTAAAAATAAGATTAAGCTTAAGAGTTCAATAAGACAATCTATAAAATCTTTATTAAATGGTAGTCGTAGAGTAATTCATTGATAATAAAGACTATAATTATCCTAATATAAATATCATGATAATAACATTTATTATATTATATACAGATAAATAAAAGTTCTGTTATTTCAAAATAACAGTTTTTTCTAAATGCATATGAAAATATATTATATGGTACATAAAAGAAAAAAAAAACAATTTTTAAAATTTTTGTCTGTGTCATTTGTGTTCCGGCTACTCTCCGAAATGACTGGTCCAATTTTGACGGGACTTTCACTGACAGGTAGCTGATGTTATAAGGAGTAACTTAGGCTATTTTATTTTAAAAAAGAAACAGGGTTTCACGCATAAAAATTTAAAACCCATGAAATTGTGAACAAAATCCGCCTACCTAGAGACAACCAGAGAGAAGTAAGTTGCTAGTTATTAATGATAATAATTATAAAAAAATCAACTAACCTTGTAAATATTAATATTTAAGTATTTTTTTTACAGAAACTGAGAAATTATTAATTTAATATAGGTATGTACTTACATCAAAGTTAATAATCGAGTCATCAGTTTGAACTTTAAGTTCAGACTCTGGCACTTTTACAGTTTCTGAATTTAAGTCAATTACAATATTTTGTGATTGTTTTTTACTTCTTGATGATATAAATGTTTTTTGTACAAATGAATCATTATTCAATTCTGCCAGCAGATTCCTATCATGGATTGTTGGCATATCTTCTTTAATTTCAACATCTTTATATTCATAAGTTGGTATTTTAGTCATTGTTAGGCCCACTGCTTCTGCTGCCTTAATAGCTCGTTCAATTTTTGTTTCGGTATCATCCACTTTGTGCTTTCTAGGTTCTGGAAAGTTTAGAATATATTTTGAATTCAAAATTGAAAAATGATGTACCGAAATTCATATAATTCAGCACTCACCTATATCAAACGAACTTGATCTGCTACTTGATGAACGTGATCGTTTTCGATGTTTTTTAGTGTTTTTATTGCGTCTAGATCGGCTATGTGAACTTGATCTTGAATGTGAACGATCGCGAGAATGCTTTGATCGTTTAGAATGTGATCGTGATAAGGATCGTCGTTTAGATTTGCTCTCATAACGATCCTTCGATACACTCCTAGAATAACTCCTTTTTTTATATTTCGATCGTGATGTAGATCGTTTTCTTCTATGACTGCTAGATTCTGATCGATCTCGGGAACGCGATCGTCGTTTATGTTTACTTTTAACCTTTTTTCTATCGTAAGAGGATTCGGAACTGTAAGAGGAACTCCGCCTATCGCGATATCTACTTTTTTCTCGAGGCATTTGTTAAAATTTTTATCATCTGTTTTTGATCAGTAATTTAAACTGATTATTTATTTCATATTTGCATTGAATAATTTAAAATATACATAAAAAGAGCACAAAACCATTTACTATAAACACGCTTTTACAGCACTTTTTTTGACAATTGACATTGAAATAAATATGTGTATGCCAGACGTATTATTAAATAAAATACAGAGTACAAATATTGTAACAAATATTTTTTTTATAAATATGATTATTGTGAGATTGGTGATCGTTACTTTTACTTTTTATATTTCAGATTGTATACTCACATGTTCTTATAAATAAAAATAACTGAAGTGTGCATACAAATGTTTTCAGTTATATTTTAAATTTGTTTATTAGTTTAAGTCGTAACGTCTAGGTGGCACTATGATGTTTTACTACATTGAAAACGTTCCAAATAACGTTTGTTTTCATTGACGATCATTGAATTTTTTTAAATCTTACATTCAAAGTAAAATTATTGGTAAAAAGTTGTATTAAATATTTAAAACTTGGAAACACTTCTATAGAAAATATTTTTTTATACTTATATATGCATATAATAACTTCAATTTTTAAAAATAGCATGACATGACATCTTGGAAGTACTGCGTTAATTGGATCGTACTCTAGGGCAGCGACCACAATCAGTCGGCCTCGATGACGGAATGTGTGAAATTTTAAGATGGTGATGATCTCTGTTTTCTTTAATTTACATATAAAATTAGGAATTGTTGCACTATTTATTTATTGATATGATAATCATGTGTATAATCATATGACTAATGAGATATTAGTGCAATTTCTGTTGGCTAAGCAGACTTGAAGTGTTGAACGTGTTTGTCGGATCATTGACATTGTTTCGTTATAAATTTTTGTACCATCGTGATTGTTATGTTTATGCTCGTATTGTGTGCTTTTGTAAAGTCAAGTGGATGGATTAGGCGTTTCTGATGTTTTCGAAGTTATGGAGAGGCAGGAGCGAACATTTGCCAACATGGAGGCCACAGACACTGTGGACACCAAACAGGTGAGATCGAGACGACTAATTGCCGGTTGCTCATAATTAATGTTTACTGGACATATGTGATATCTATCTTTCACAAAACTCTAATAAGTAATATTTGCTAACTATAATATGACTAAAACAATGTATAACAAAAGTAATAATTCCAATAATCACATCATCTTTTCATCATATTGATATGTTTACGTGTTATAGATTAAAATTTAGGTGATGGAGTCACCTTTAAATCATTCTAAACAAATCAAGGCAAAGTGTGGGTGAAGTTAACAGCCCACACTCCTGTGGAATAAATTATTGCTATTAGAACATTGTTATGTACCTTACATGTCATATCATATATTTCATATATAATGTCCACAGCCTTTGTTTTATATTTCAACAGTAAACTTTTTATTGTTTGCCTTATTAAAATACAAAATGATTATTGATTAGTGTTATTATGAATTATAAATTTGCATAATGAATTTCTTTAATAGTTAAGTAAACATTTGGAATTTAAATAGACAGTAACATATTTTATTACACGAATTAGTCCCAGTACCTCACCATCCCAGCATTCATTTCAGCCAGCGTTCGATTAATTGATTTGATTGATGTTTTATTTTTAAATTGAGTTATGACTGATGATTTTTGATGTTCTTATTTTTAAATATTGTATATGTATATGATTGTGTTTTGTTATGTTTTGGTATCTCATAAGCATATTAAGGTAGACATGGTATTGCAATTTCTAATAATAAATGCATCACAATTTTTAATTGGTCAAAATTAGTAGAAGATATTTTCTACTAATTTTCACTCATTCAGAGTGTCATGAAAAAATATGTAAAAAGATTACTTAATGTGGAAAAGTCTAGATCATTTTTTATATTTCATCAATTTAATATAATGTGACATTTAAAATAATCCTAGAATTAAATCATGGGGAGTATGTTCATGCTTAATAAATATAAGCCATATTAAATATTTATATATTTAATTCTCTATTTACAAGGAAGAGTTGAGTGACTTTTTTATTATGTTCGAACTATAAAAATTAAACTTATAATTTGTTAAAAATATGTTAGTACTCAGTACTCACTACATTTAATAAAGAGTTTTGGGAATATAAAATCAATACTTAATTTGAAAGGTTACTTAGTGTTATTATATGGTAACAATTTCTAAAAATCCATTTTTATTTTTTATATTCTGGGTCGGGTACTAGAAATGGTTTACCCACACATGGAGACGTGTTAAAATATGAAACTCTCCATGAGTTGCCAATTTTTTACACTATATACATTAGTTGTTTTATTATTTTGTATGTTACAGCTTTATTTTGTTGTAATTCTCAGATTAATTGAGTAAATAAGATTTATGCTATTTGAGTATGTAAATTAATGATAATTTATACATTATGATTTTAAAACTTCGCTTAGTCTCTTTCATAGAACCTAAGTCGCGACGGATATTCAATGTTAGCATACTTATCTCGTCAAACAATATTCTATCGTCTTGGTAGAGGGGCGCGGTCCACTCGCGCGGGTCCGAACAGTTGAAACGCGTCGGGCGCGCAGCACGCCGCGCGCGCACTCCCGCTAAAGTGATGTCACCGTGAGCCCAGTGGTTACTGTGTTGTGTGTCTATGTAATAATCGTGTTAAATAATTGTTTTAATATAAAATAATGGTAGCGATGGTGGCCTCGGCGTCCGGATACGGCACTCTTCGCCGATTTCTGAGCGCACCTGATGGCCAAGAGATAGAAAACACCGGTGTTATCCCAAGCGCCTCAGTCGCGGTCTCGGTAAGCCATGAACTGTTACATAGAATAGCGATATGCGCATGGAATGTAGATAATATTAGTTCCATCCAGGTGTGGAAAGGTCGATGAATGATGTTTCTTATCGGCGCTGCATTCGTACGATAAGTTATGCCATTGCGATAACTCTAGTTATTTATTGACGATGATTAATTTTTTTTGCAGAACAGGTAATAACTTACATGTAAAATAAATTACTCGTTTAAGAATTCATGCGAATTATTTGTGTTAGTTGGAGGTCAAAGAAACCGCGTTACCAAACTATTTTGCAACATAAAAGCTTAGAAAGTCATACATTATATCTAACAATCGTTACAAAGGCTATTAAAATTACATTGTCGCCCGGAGCGCTCGGCATGTGCTCTATAATTTTCTCATTTGGCTAAATTATTTTAATAGAAATAAAAAATCTATCTTTACATATACTACTAATTCACTGTCGAAATTGTCGTGACTGTTTTGGAACAAAATTTTGTCGGAAGTTAAAAAAAGATTTTTAACAGCCATTCATCAATCCGCAGTAACCGTCGGCTGCGAGGTCAATGACTCGACTTTCCTTTTTAATATTCTTTAATATTTTGCCATCATTGTATATTCCGTCCTTGGCCTCCACCATATGGGGTATGAGAATATTTTTTGCCAATGATGTCATACTCATATGCTCGGGATTAGACAGGAGTGTGCGGCCAAGGTTAGGGCATCAGACCGTGGCCGCATCTTGGAGACTCACGGCTCGTTGCCGCCGCCCGCGAAAGGAGTTCGTCTTCGCGATGTTGTTACCGACCCAGATCTCTCTTTCGCTTATTCGCTTTTTACCCTCCAAAATTAATAAAGCGCATCTTAAAATTAAATTAAAATTGATGTGCCATTTGTTCAGCGATATAAACTTATTTTTCGCATAATTAATTTCATAGTGTATAGTGGTTTAAATTGTTATAACCGTTTTTAAACTATTACTAATTGTAAGTCCAGATAAGCTTTTTGGCAGTAACTTTACGTAGAACGTAAGGTTCTAATATGTTTAAAATACGATGTACAAATCATAAATTTAACTGTATAACAAGGATAATTAATTGTTTATAAAGAATGTTTTTTTACATTAGAATTTCATTTTGGAGAGTTTTTCCAAGTTCGAAAGGTTTTCCACTCTTTATGAGATTATAATGTGAGGCGTTATAATTCAATAGTCAGAGAAAATATCCACCGACAGATACGATTGAAATGATAATGTGTGGAGAGCGAAGTCTTTGTTCGTAATTTCCTTTCCCAACGCTAGTTTTTTAGAAACAAATAAAGTGAATGATTTTAATAAAGTCACTCGTGATGAAATACCACTTTTGCAACATTTATACTCAAAGGCTCAATATCAGGCAAATTGATTTTGAGTGATATATTGCTGTTATATGTATATTATATATAACTAGCATTGCCCGCGGCTCCGCCCGCGTTCAGGTGATCACAAAACCAAATTCTTAGGTGATACATATTAGTATACTCTTACATTGCAGTTTTTGTATTTTTTCTCAATAATGAGATATTTTTTCGCTGTAAAAAGTATCCTATATATATATACCCGAATAATCAGCTATCACTGTGCCAAATTTCATCAAAATCCCTCCAGTGGGTTTTCTGTGATCCGGTAACAGACAGACAAAAATTCTAAAAACTATAGATTCGGCCTCTGTATCGATAATGTTTATTTCAATAAGATTTTCCAAAAAATATCTAATGTACAGATTCGGCTTATTTACAATTTTATTATATGTGTGAAAAAATAGCTCCAGGTTATTTTGTAGAAGCTAAAAAAATTTAAACTATGAGTTACTTAAGGCGTTACGATGTGTTAAATTTAAATTACCAGGAACGAGAGGAACTATGAATGCTTTGATTAAAACATTAGGTGTATTAAATTTCAAACGGAGAATATATAAAATACAGAACACGATGACGTTAGCTATAAAGCTAGCATTAAGCATAAATCTTATCCGTATCTAGCAGAGACAAGAAATGTGGACTTGTGTGTAATATTTATTTTTCTAGCAACTTTCAATCTTAAATGAAATCAATCTATATACAGCGACCTATTTTCTGAGATTTTAACGAGTTTCTTGATTTTCCGCTATAAAATGTTAACAGCAGAACTTTTAGTTGTGTGCTGTAAAAGACGTTTTTATTTAATAAAATTTATCCCAGATATGATCTTTTAGATATCACAAACGTATGCATTTTTGGATCTAGTTTAATCGTGACTTGATAAAACCAGTGGCAAGTTCTTAGGCATTTTAATGAAGATGTAAATAAATACGCTAGACCTAGCATATCAATTAAGACTGTGTTAAACGTATTAAGATTTCTGATCTATTTAAAAATTATTGACGGAAATCAAATATAATTAAAATTAACTAACTTCCGCAATTAAAATGGCGATCTAATTCTACTTTTCTATTACAACAGCGATTCTCCATGGTTTTCAAGCGGATGTAAAATAACACATACAATATGTACATAGCTTAAAAAATATTTACATTATATCATCCACTCATCTTGGTTGGACTATGTCACACATCGTATTGGCAGGTATTCAAATAACACCTTACTAAAGTTTTGTATGGGTTGATATAGAGACGCATACGCAACGCTTTATGCAGTACCTAAAAGATAATATAAAACTAGAATTCGCATTGATTAATAAATCCTAACATCATTAGGAAACCAATTCAGGTATCTTGAGACAACTTAAATAAGTTGGCAATAGATATGTGAAGACTGCCAACCCATATTTAGCCAACGTCCAAGCCATCCCGCATATTGTCAAGCCAAAAATCTTGGCCAAACCCTGACCGAGTCACATTGACCGAGGACTTGTGCCCAGCAGTGGGACTTTAAAAAAGGCTGAACTTTAATAAGTTTATAGTTACATCCTATCTATAATAAAGGCTAATTAATATATGCTATCATTTTCAAATAATATTTGATAATTTTATTCCGTCACTATGTTATTATATGTATGCACATTGTACATTGCACATATATGCAGTGTGCGTCAGCCATTGAAGCAATCAAGATTTTATGTTCAATTCTACCGCATTTCTAAGTACCCTTGCTTCATTAGAATGAATGTCGTTGTTAATCACCTTGCATCGGTAAACCATTTATTGATTTACTGTCTTGTTTCCTTGTTTGCCTTTTACGAAATCGTAAAAAAAAAAATTACAGGAAGTTCTATCTTTAATTGTGTTAGATAAACTCAAGTATAGCTTTAGGTATTTTATCTAAAACTATACTTGTTTAAACAATGTACCTTATATAGATACTAGCAGTATCCGCGACTTTGGCTGCGTCTAAACTTCCGATATAAACATCAGTTTTTCAATAATGTATGGCAGTCTGCCTGATTTGTTGACATTTATCATTACTGCTCCGCTCCCTTGTGTAGTAGCATGATGATATATAGCCTACAGCCTTCCTCAATAAACGGGCTATCTAATGCAAAAAGTATTTTTCAAATCGGGTTAGTAGTTCCAGAGATTAGCGCGTTCAAACAAACAAACTCGGCCTCTTTATAATATTAGTATAGATTTTATGTACGTACGCTTGCAAACTCTTGCAACACTTGTATTAAGAGACATTTAAGTTATTAGTTAACTGTTCACGTAACGATAAGAAGAAATATTAGTTAGTGTCTGTGTCATAGCAAGGTTTCTTGTTATTGAGTCTTGAGAAATGTACTTTTTCATTTATCATAATGGCGTATCCGTCTGAACAATTTCTCTGTTGTGTTTTCATGAATTTTTTACTTTGTCTGCAAGAATAAAGTGTCTGACAACTGCATATTAGATTGCTTAATTTAAATTTAAAAAGATATTGTTACCAATTGTTTGTGTTTGCTGTTTATATATTTTGTCATGAATGTTTCAATGTAAATATGTAAAACTTTAATTATTACATTATTAAGGTTTGAAAGAAGTCTATTACAAAATCACAATATCAATCATATATTGTACTCATCGATATATGTAATTACGTAATGTTTATATGAATAGTTTTGTAACTGCATTAAAATTTCATACTGTATCCTTATTTCTTGTGCCTACTGACTCATTAGGAATAAGGAAACTTTGAAACTAGATAATGTGTTGTCGCCTTGGAAGTTAAAGAAGATTGCTTGCAAAAATGTTGCCATTTATGAATAAATGATCTGACTAAAATAAATAAATAAATAAATAAATAAATATAAATATGTTGGGACATTAACACACAGCACCATCTAGTTCCATGGTAAGCTACGAGGCTTATGTTATGGATACCAGATAATTGATACACTACTCGTATATAAGTTGAAATACATATGTACATATTATAAATATAAACATCCATGACTGGAGTGTACACATTCGTGCTCATCACACAAATGAATGCCCCCAGCGGAACTCGAACCGGCGATCGCTAGTACAGTAAGTAGGGTCACTACAAACTGAGCCAAAAATGTCGTCTGTATGAACTAACATTGCTCTATACCATATTATTACATAAATAAATACATACATATCTCTTTAGAAGGCGATCCAACGTCTTGCAATAGACGGTCCGCTGTTCCGCACATACTTCCGCCCACAGTCGTCCTATAAGGTGTGGACCTTGTTACGCTTATATGTAGATTGTAGGCACATGTAGTTCAATGTTAGTTTTAAAGGTTTTAAACTATATAATTCGTTCTTTATGACGTATATACGTACATACATACATATATCGTCGGTCAAGTGGTCACATTCAATACCTGCGGTCATGCTATCTCTTTCTTTTCTCCTTTTACATTAATTGAAATAAATTATAGCAATTATTGCTTTAAAATGCTCTCGTTGGTTATTGTATAAATAAATATAAATATATTGGGACACTAACACACCGCACCATCTAGTTCTATGGTAAGTTCTATGGTACCAGATAGTTGATACACTACTCATATATAATTTTAAATACATATA